CAACCTGTAAATCTGACCAAAGAAAAGCTGTGATTTACAGCGAATTCCTTCTTTTATAATTCTATTAAAAGTTCGGAAATTGCCTTGGAATCTGTAAAGCGAGTCAATCATTTCCCCATTGTTTTCATCTCCAAATCTGTATCAGGATTGTGCAGCATTTGGGGAGGGGTGTGTGAGGCTTAGGGCACATTCATATCCACAAGTAATGCTTCTGAGCACACACATCAACTATCTCTGCCCTGTTTCTGGACATATTTCTTCACTCTCAACTCTCAAATAAGTTTGCTTTTGTAAGTGATCCCGCTACAGATATTACTTTTTCATGCGTGGGCAGTGAGCTGAGCACAAGGGTAGTGGAAGCTTCCATGCAGCCAAAGGTTTTTCTGCCAGCAGTCCTGCACTTCTGATCTAGGAATTAGGTAAGAGTATGCTGGTTGCTGCCTGCTTTTACTTTTCATAAAGTTACTTTTCATAAAACTGTTTGCAAGAATTTTGACTGGCAGGATCCAGGAAGAGAGCCTTCTCTGCCATTGCCCCCCTCCCTTTAAAATATGTTACCCCAAAAGTGAGCCAGGTCCTCACTCTTCTGCCCATCTGGAAGAGTATGAAGACCTGGCTCTGCCATGTGGCACAGGGTGGGAGTAGAACCCCCGGGCTGGTTGGTGTCTTGAGATTGCTCCTTCCATCTCTTTTAACTTTTTAATATCCTCATTTTAACCTTGTTTAGTCCTTCTTGGACTAAACAAGTCTGCTTTCCAGTCTGCTTTCCAGCACAGATGGAGACATTCATTTTTAGGGTAGGTTTTCTAGGGCTTAGCAGTAGCGGCATCCGTTCAACTCATAGACGTGTTAGAATGAGACAGAGCTGCTCTTCCTCCTAAATTAAAAGGCGAAAGGGATGTTGCAAAGGATGGAGTGGTGGATTTTAGAATTAAAATAAAGGAACATTATGGATGACCCCAGGTTGACCTTCATCAGCTGCTGGATACAAAACAGACAAATAAGTTGCAGATTTTATCCAAATTCTTTTTCCCTTTGAAAACAGCATGTCTTATCAGCCAGAGGCAGGTAGTAAAAGTTTAAAAAGTGAAAGGCAGTACAACCTCCCCCGAAAAGAGTCACTGCACTCACAAGAATAGATAAAACCCCGACCGGATCATATTTCCCTTAACAACAATGGTGCACACCTTCTGGGCATTAATATATACAGTAGTATAATCTATACTATTCTATGATATACTATTCTATGATATATTATTCTATTATATACTATTATATACTATATTCTGTTCTGTTCTGTTCTGTTCTGTTCCGCTCCCTTCCCTTCCCTTCCCTTCCCTTCCCTTCCCTTCCCTTCCCTTCCCTTCCCTTCCCTTCCCTTCCGTTCTGTTCTATTCTATTCTATTCTATTCTATTATAATAATATTATAGTATAATAGTATATAGGCAATAGTATGGTATAGATTCTCCTGCTTGAGCAGGGGACTGGGCTAGAAGTCCTCCCAGGTCCCTTCCAGTACTAGTCTAGTCTAGTCTAGTAATCTTTCAAGTGTGTTTTTAACTGTGCTTACCAATGAGATTGTATTCACCAATGATGTCGTGATTGTCTGATTGTAACTCTTTAAAACCCAGTGTCTAAAGTAAGCCTGCACCCTTGCTTTGGAAACAAATTTCCAAATGCCCTTCTTCTAGACAGAATAAAACTATTTGTTCTGTACAGTAGCACAGGGATTTCCCCCTCTGTGTCTTTAATTGGCGCTGCATTCCAGACATAACAAAGCCAGGATTCCTGAGCCAACAGCTTCTCCTAATATTATTATGCCTGGGCACCCTACTTCTGAGAAGGGAGGAATTTCAGGAATGCTGGTGTTCGCCAAACTCAGGTCTCTTGGCAGGGGGATTTTTGGAAATTGATAATGTTTCTGCAATAGGCTTACAGGTAGTCCTCGACACACAACAGTTCTTTAAGCGACCATTCAAAGTTACATCGGCACTGAAAAAAGTGACTTATGATCATTTTTCACACTTACACCTGTTGCAGCAAGCCCATGGTCATATGATCAGAATTCAAACGGTTGGCAACTGACTCATATTTATGACGGTTGCAGTGTCCCCGGACCATGTAATCATCTGTTGCAACCTTCTGACAAGCAACGTCAGCGGGGAAGCCAGATTTGCTTAACAACCATGTCACTAACTTAAGAACTGGAGTGATTTACTTAACGACGGTAGCAAGAAAGGTTGTAAAATGTGGCAGAACTCACTTAGAAACTGTCTCACGTAGCGATCTAAGTTTTGGGCTCAGCTATGGTCGTAAGTCAAGGACTACCTGTATTGGCCCAGAGAGAAAACCTGGGATGAAATGAGGGATGTGCCACATTAATACTGTTATCCAGTCCTGGTCTTCTTTAGATTTCTTGGGGAACATCTAATTCCACTAGGTTCCACTTTGCAAAAAGCCAATTCAGCTCTTACCTGTTTCTCCTCAGTTTCAATGCATGAGACAAAGAACAAAGTCCCCTTAAGGGTTTGTCGACATATTGCAATGCACTTTGGGGAAGAAACCCCTGACTTTGTTGGATAAGTTTGTCAAATTCCAAGGACTCCTGTGATTTATTATTAAGATGGCAACCCTTAGAAGACTTGGCTGATCTTGAAAAACAAAGTCAGAGCTGGTTAATATTTAGAAAGGAATGCTACAGCTGAAATGAAAAATATTACCGTGATGGAGGATGCCTTGTCTTTGAGAGATGCTACAGCCTACGAGTCAGTTAACCAAACTGAACTACAGGTTTACATCTTGCCTATGTCACTCCTCCAAAAGATGAGCCCTGGTGCCACTATAAGGTGGAGGTTTTAATTTTAATTTCAGTATTACCATCTGTCCTTCCTCTGCAATATCACAAACAGGTAATTTTGGAACCCGGATTTAATAACCTTACGGTGATCTGAGCAGAATGCTTCAGTTTATAATTTGTCTGTAAAAGCATGATAAATCGGAGTTTTAAGCTTCAGACCTCTGCCCTAAAATCCTGCCTTCAAAGCATCATAATTATTTGATCGTGATTTACTGTATATATAAACAACCTTGGCTATTGCCTGTTGGTTCAAAGCATAATGATAGAAAAGAAATGAAGTCATATCCTATCTGATGAAAGCTTTTAAGGCCTACTTTGAAATCTTTGGCAAGCTGTTTGAGAAACAGTTAACAATCTATATGCTTTGCATAGAGAAATGTTTCAGAGTCAATTCCACATTAAAATGTCTCTGCTAAAAAAAAATCTTTTTCCAGCCTTGGGAAGTCAGAGTAGACAATCCTGAGCTGGATGAAATAATTATCTGATATAAATCAGTTCTGTATTTCCACTTCTGTAGAGTTCAAAATTCATCCTATTATCTGAAATTGTCCCCTGTTGTTTTTCAACCCAGGTGGATAAATTTTGTCAATCAGGGAGCACATTTTCTAAAAAATGCTTTTGGTATTAAGAACTGCAGAAGAAAGATGGATGATGTGATGTGATAAAGTCACACAAATAGGCAAACCCTGGAATTTACCAATTTCTGTTAAGAGATTGGTAAATTGCTTCGTAGTTTATTAGTGACAGTTTTAAGGGACATTTGTTGTTTCTTCCCCAAAGAAAACTTTTTCCCATAGTTGTTTTTTTCCTATATCCACCTTTATTGTTGAGTTGAAAGTGTGATTTGGGTTTGCAAAAAACAACAACAACCACAAGCTACAGATTGTGGGAAGCTACAGATTGTGGGGTTGGCGGTGTTCTCTGAGCTTAGTTGTTGACTTGTGGACCCATCTGAGGCCATCTTGTATCTTATCTTATCTTATCTTATCTTATCTTATCTTATCTTATCTTATCATCTTATCTTACCTTACCTTACCTTATTTATTTATTTATTTATTTTATTTGTCAAGCATGTATAAGAAAACAGATATAAGTATAAACATGATTATGATACAGGAAATGGATACAAATAAATGGGGACAGTGGGACAGGGACAGTAGGCACGTTGGTGCACTTATGCACGTCCCTTATAGACCTCTTAGGAATAGGGTGAGGTCAATAGTAGACCATCTAAGGTTAAAGTTATGGGGCTTTGGGGATAAAATCATAGAGTCAGGTAGTGCATTCCAGGCATTGACCACTCTGTTGCTGAAGTCGTATTTTCTGCAATCGAGTTTGGAGTGGTTTACCTTAAGTTTGTATCTATTGTGTGCTCGTGTATTATTGCGGTTGAAGCTGAAGTAGTCATTGACAGGTAGGACATTGTAGCAGATAATTTTGTGTACTATGCTTAGGTCAGACTGAAGGTGGCGTAGTTCTAAGGTGCATAAGCCCAAAATTTCAAGCCTGGTGGTATAAGGTATTCTGTTGTGAGCAGAGGAGTGGAGAACTCTTCTCGTGAAAGAACCCTTTTTGAAGATAGGGATGACCGTGGCTAGTGACCATAGGTTGGGCAAGGAGCTGGTCCTGAAAGATTTTTCATAGATTATGATTAGAGGTTCTGTTAAGGCAGTGGAAAGCTTTTTTAAGAAGTAGGCACATAATCCATCAGGTCCAATAGATAGAGATGGTTTTAGGCTCTGCGTCGTGCCTTTTCAACGTTATCTTCTATAAAATCGATATGTAGTAGATTGTTGCAATTAGTTGTGGTATGACTAGGAAATGTGGGGCATGAGCCATTGCTATTTACAAAGACTGAACCGAAGAACGTGTTAAAGAGGTTTGGCTTTAACAGCTTCATCATTACAGTCTTTACCATTAGGTCCTTTTAGGGGTCGGATGGATCTTGAGTCTTTAAGTTTGTTATTTATAAAATTATAGAAGGTGCGGGTGGATTTTGTGCATAGAAGACTTTCCACTAGTTTGCTGTGGTAATTGGTGCATTCTGTCTTTATCTGGCGGCATAAGATTTTGTAGCAGCTTTTAAAGTTAGCTATGTAACCAGTTTTGTTTTTTCGCCAGAGATTTTTTTTTTTTTTTGGATTGAAGCTTCCTTATTGTTATGGGTAATTTGTTTTGGTTTTTTTCTGGTTTTGGGGGTTATTAGTGGTACGTATAGTTTAATGACTTTTTTGTTTGTTTGTTTGTTTAGTGTTCTCTGAGCTTGGTTGTTGTCTTGTGGACCCATCTGAGGCCATCTCGTATCAAAACAACTCTGGGTGGCTTATTTGTGGATAGGTACGGAGGAGTGAGAAACCTCCATATTAAAACCCTCTGTGTCTGGAGTTCTCAATTTTTTTCTGCCATAGAGTTTGGTGAAAGTATGGTGAAATAGGTGCATAAAATAAAATAGTGAAAATAACTTCCTCCCCCATCCAAGTTCACAGATTCCCAGAAATCTATCCATAGGTTCCCAGTGAAGAACCCCACTCCACCTTCTTGTGGCAATTTCCTGATAGAGAACAACAACATCAAAAATAAGGAATAAGACAATAAGATAGTGAGAAAATTCTTCTCACTGCAGACAAATTCATTTTTATTTGCAACATTAAAAGCAACATTGAAACAGATAAAGGAAATATGTTTCTTAGGAAATCAATCGTTGTACTAGGAAAACAATCCATCGAAGGCATCCTTTTCTGAAAAAGGTGCATTCGGGCACACTAAAACATACCAATATTGCATATTATATATTTAGCATTTACATTAGCCATACAGCATAGGATGTCTTATCCAAGTGCATGGAGGCTGTGAAGATCTGGAATCAACAGGCTTCAACTGAACACCGACAAGATCGAGTGGCTTTGGGTTTTGGAGCCCAACAGTTCTAGGATTGTATCATCTTTGGTGCTGGATGGGGTTCCCTGTGCACCCTGTGCACCCTGTGCACAATCTGAGGGTCTTCTTAGACTTACAACTCCTGTTCGACAGGTGGCCAAAGCAAATCTTTATTACAGTCAAAAACCAGCATAAGAAGTCAATTAAAAAGCATAGAAAATACATTTCTAATTATAAATTCTAAAATTTATAATTCTAAATTATTGTTATAAAAAAGTAAGAGATATAAAACAGGAGAGAAAGAGAGATATAAAACAGAAGTCTAAAAGAAATCTAAAAGGAGGGGTAGGAGCATTAAATGAGCATAGGGGAACATCAATGCTAGTACAGATAGTCCTTGATTTACAAGAGTTTGTTTAGTGACCACTCAATGTTACAACGAGGTTACAATGTTACAATGACCATTGCAGAATCCCCACAGTCACCTGATCAAAATTCAGCCACTTGGCAACTGACTCATATTTATGATCATTGCAGTGTCCCGGGATAATGTGTTCACCATTTGCAACCTGACAAGCAAAGTCAATGGGGAAGCCAGATTCACTTAACAATGGTGTTACTAATTTAACAACTGCAGTGATTCTCTTAACAGATGTGGCAAGAAAAGTCATAAAATGGGGCACACATTTCTCACTTAACAATATAAATTTTGAGCTCAGTTGCGGTCGTAAGTCGAGGACTACCTGTATGTGGCAGACTGTCTATCAAATTACAGAGCATTTCAGTATGATGAACTAGATGCTCATTAAGACTAGCCTAGGGCACAGGTCATCATCACCATCTGATGGATTTTAAGTGCTGCAATGCAGACCTGGCAACATTATAAGTTGTAGCAGGGTTGGTCTCTGAAAACACCCGAGAGGTATAAATTTGTTATGGGTGTTTATGCAATAATGGTGATTTGAGGCTAGTACAAAGGTCTTAGTAAAACTGGCACTGGAGAAAAATGTACTCCGTTGTTTCTGTATGTTCAAAATCACCACTCATGTCCTAGTCAACTCCCAGTTGGACTATTTTAAGGTGTTCTGTATGGGACTGCCCTTGAAGAATGTCCAGAAATTTCAGCTGGTGCAGCATTGTGGGCAGCTATGCGTATTTTTAGTGCAGTAATACATCATGAAGAACCCAGCACGTGATTCATGGCAATTTACCAATATTGTGAACAAGGGATAAGAGGCCTCTTAGATTTTTCCTTTTTTTGAATATAGAAATAAAGATGTTTGTTTGATTATAAGGTTTCTCCCAACTGGTTTTGACCTAGGGCCATGATGACAGAGCCCTCTCTGTGGGCACGCATGCCATTGCCAGCTGCTGTTCCGGTTTCCGGAGTGCGCATGTGCACATTGCCAGCTGATCTTTGGGTTTTCAGTGCTCTGGCATGCGCACATTCCAGTTTGGGCACTCGGTGCCCAAAAGGTTCGCCATCACTGACCTAGGGGGTTGCTATTATTTTTATTTTATTTTACTATTTTTTGGCATACTTTGGTATTAGGTCTTATCTATCATCTACTTGATATTCTAAGATAGAGGATGAGATTAAAAATACTTAATTTAAATAAAACCAGTAAATGAAAAAAAACTATTTGATTTTATACTCTCAATTTTTTTGAAATCAAGTAGTTTTTTATTTTTATGGGCAAGATTGCTTAAAAAAAAAAACTAGGCCTTTCCTATTCACCAGGACAATGCACAACCTATCATAAAATTGAAATCCCATAGGCCAGTATGGAAAACAACTGTTCACTTCACATCAGGGGTGAAATGCTCCCGGTTCGGACCAGATCGAGTGATCCGGTAGCAATTGTGGCAGGTGGTTCAGAGAACCTGTAGCGATGGTGGCGCGAGGCTCCACCCATCCACCCGGGTGTGGTTACTTCCTGGTTTTAATCAGGAAGTAATGTGTTTTTTTACCCTCTGCACATGTGCAGAAGGTTTTGCGTGATGCGAGCGCGGCACGTGCACTTCTGAACTGGTAAAGAAGGTAAGTAGATTTCACCCCTGCTTCACATTTATCAGGTTTAACCACAAGAATGCCTGGGGAGAAGAATAGTCCAAGGTACCTCTTGTAGCCTGCCAGCTGACAGCAGAGCTGGCGGCAGACTCGGTCAATGAGGAGATGGGGAGGAAATTGGGCCAGTCCTGGAGTCTGGAGAAGGCTCTAATAGAAGCAGAGATAGAGCCAGGGCCATCCCAGCTGCCTTCGGAGTCGGAGATAAGTGGGGAAGAAGAACAGCTGGGGCCTGTTCCAGAAGTGCGTATGCACAGAGCTGTCAGGAGAGGAGAACAAATGAGGAACAGGGGCTGAATCAGGAAGAAAGGCACACCTGGATGCTGAATGGCTCCTCCCTGGCTGGGGAATAAATAGAAGCAAAAATGGAGTGGTAGTTGCAGGAGACAACAGTTCGTATTTCTGGTTTGAGCCTCAGAGGCTTCTTGCCGGGAATTAACTTACAGCTTTGTGACTTGAAGCTCTCAGCCTGTCAATTATCTAAAGACTGATAAAGTCTGTTATTGCAATTAACCCTTGGAAGGATTATTGCCTGGACTTTTCTGTGTGAATGCCATGAATTCACAATAGTTAAATAAAGAGGGTTTTTTCGGGACAAGGAGTCTGTTTCTTGGTTCTGCTAAGGCTGGGTCAGAACAGGACCGTCTTGCAGCCTGACCATTAGTGATCCCTTTACCAAACCACCTGGTTTTCACCTGCCTCACTTTGTCTGGACAAAATTGAAGAGAATTAGGTGTGCTATTGGCAGAAGTGCCTCTGCCCTGTATCTCCAGGGCTGGAAAGATTCCCCTTGTTGCGATTGTAGTGCTGATATGCAAATTGTTGAACATATTGTGCAAGATTTCCCTGTTCTCTACTTCCTTAGAAGATCTGGGCAAAGCAAATGCTAGAGGCAATCAGCTGGACACTGAACTGGACATCCAGTTATGAGCCACTGTCATACCCCGTAGAAGGTGTTTTTATATCATTATGTGGATTGTGTGTATATGATTACTTCTCTATATCATGTTCCCATCACATACTACATAATAAAAAAACTTAGCCATTCCCAAAAATATGTACTAGTTGTATTATGGATAGATCAAATGATTGGTGATTAATATCTGCCAACTCAGGCTCAGGAAAAAATAGTCATTTTTTAAGTGGCTCACATCCAAATGGCTTCAAAGGCTTCTTATCTGCTTTGTCCTCCTTCGGTCAGAACTTCCCAGGGGCAAATCACTTCTTTGGCAGACTCCTTGTAAGGACAAGGATGGTGATCTTCTTCCACTCCAGTGTCCATTGGATGGATTTTGCTCTCCAGAGAAATCTGAAAGAAGGCGCTAAGCCAAAACCAAACCAAACATCATATTTTATGTATTCTCTTTATATTTCATATTTCTAAACCACCCATCTCCCTCGAAGACAATGACAATGAAGATATCAAACTGCTGGAGAGCTTCTGCCTTTTAGGATCAACTATCACCAGTAAAGGAACTAGCAGTCACGAAATGTGCATAGCCCAGCACCTGGTAAAACACCTATAAAGGCCTTGGAAAAGATATTCAAATACTGCAATGTGTGATACTTACAAAGATTTGAATCATTCAAGCAATGATATTCTCCTGACATTCCATGTAAACAAAAGTTGGACTTTGAAGAAGCAAGATAAAGAGAGTATTGACCAGTGGTGGGTTGTTCCCCGGTTCGCACCAGTTCTATAGAATCGGTAGTAAACCGGCGGGAGGTTCCGCCCACCGACCCCGACGTCATCAAATTGCTTCTGCGCTTGCGCAGAAGAGTGTGCATGCCGTCCCGCTGCAAACTGGTAGTAAAGATAAGTAGAACCCACCCCTGGTATTGATCCATTTAAAGTACAGTGTTAGAGAAGATTCCTGTGAATACTATGGACAGCCAAGAAAACAAATAAATGGATGGTCGAACCAATCAATCTACAGCTGGGTTGTCAAACTCAAGGCCCATGGGCCAGATCTGGCCCATGAGGTGCTTAGATCTGGCCTGTGGGGCTGCCCTGGGAACAGCAAAGGACCGGCCCATAGTGCCTCTGCCAGCAAAAATGGAGCTCGGGAAAGCCGGGCTCTGTTTTCAACTGTGACAGCCTCCTGCAGCCCTCTGCCAGCAAAAATGGAGCTTGGAGAGACTGCATACGGCCGCCACAGGCTCTGTTTTTGCTGGGAGAGGGCTGCAGGAGGCCATCATGGCCGAAAACAGAGCCTCAATAAGTGATGTCAAGCTGGCCACACCCACCCTGGCCACGCCCCCACCCCCGCCCCCCCTGCGTACAAATACAACCCTAATGTGGCCCTCAATGAAATCAAGTTTGACACCCCTGATCTAGAGGCCCAAATAAACAGGGTCAAATACTTTGGACACATTATGTGCAGACTTAGCTCAATGGTAAAGGCCCTAGTACTGGGAAAGGTGGATGGAAAGAAGAGAAGAGAAGAAGATAACCAGCAGCAAAGTGGATAGACTCAAGTTACAGGGGAATCAGGTATATAATTTAAAGACCTGAAGGGCCAGGTTAAGGACAGATTATTATGGAGAAAATATCTCTATGAGATTGCTAGGCATATAATCAATCACAAAGCATTATTAGGATTACTGTATTCCCCTGCTGTTTGGAAGAATAAGACATGGCCACTAAGCCCAAGTAAAACCACCCATAAGAATACTCACATTGATGTTTTTTTGGATTTTGGTTGAAGGTGTTGGCTCAGATCTTCTAAGGGTTGCGCTTTTCCCTGCGCCACGGCAGGATGCTTAGATGAAAGAGTGCCAAACACAGGTGAATTCAAGCATCGCCATTTCAAGAACCTGCCCAGGGACAAGGCCAACTTTGGCTTGGGTGGCACCTTGGACTTGGAGTTGATAGCATTTGAAGAACTGTGGCAACTGTCCGGTTCAGAATCCATGGAGTCCTGAGCCCTTTCCAGGAGGGAAGGAATGGGATCAGAACCAAACCTGTTAGGGTCCAAGTTCTTCTCTGTGACAGATGCATCATCTAAGGCTACCCGAAGAGGTGAGGAGTAGCTGGCAGTGTTTGGCAGAAGGAGTTGCTTGGAGCACTGAGAAGGAGGCAGAGGATCAGAGGTACCAGCGTAAGTAGCCAAATGGGAAACAGGAACAGTAAATTGACATAACTGCAGGGAAAAGAGAGAGAGAGAGAGAGAATGGTTATTATAGCATAGACAATTACATGGAATTCTTATAGAAAATAGAGGCCTTTATTACACCTGGTCCTCTGTAACCATCCTTGCCAGGTTTCACATTATGGTCTTCCCAGCATGTCTTTCTACAGTTCAGCATGAGCAAAGCAGTGCTACTGCTGATTACAGAGTGCATGATGTCACATTCAGTCTGGTCTGGCTTTTGCCAGTAGATAGAAACCAGCCAGTCCAGATCTACCAGAAGTCTAATCTGCACATTTGATCTCAAATTAATTTTTGAGAGTGAGGAAATTCTACATCTCTTATGGCCCCTTGGCTGCACTCTTGGGGACTGCAATGTTGCAGCTTCAGATGCATGGCCAGTGGTAGAAGTTGTTCTCTCTCTCTCTCTCTCTCTCTCTCCCTCCCTCCCTCCCTCCCTCCCTCCCTCCCTCCCTCCCTCCCTCTCCCCTCTCTCTCCTATCTATCAATCATCATCTGTCAGAAATCCTATAATATTTTCTATACAGAGATGTGTATAACTATTACAGTTGTAACATAATTCTTAAATACAAATATCTGATCCATTGTTAAACAAGTGTGACGTCATTATGCATCAAAACTGCAGTGTTAAGAACTCGGGGTGGGGGGGTGTTTTTCAGTCTATGCCTTAAAACAATAAACCCATTTTCCCCAGCCCAGTGTAAATTCCTGCCCAAAATCAGAAGGGCTGCCTCTCATTCATAAAGCACATACATATATATAATACCTATGGAGATATATATGGAGATTCTTAATCAGGCAGGTTGTGAAGCTACTTGGATGAGAAGCAAAACATTTTCAAGGAAAAGTCTAAGAAAGCCCAGTTGCCTTTTGAAAAGCACTTTGGGTTTGATGATAACTGGTATTGGCATCTACGGTGGCTACCCATAGAAATAAATCAACTAATTGTAAGAGTTCAGCTATTCAACTTTGGTTCCAGTCTGTCAAAATTGTTACCTGATTGTCATGACCATGTTATACAATTGCATATTTCTAAATAAATCCCTTTAATAATATGTATTCATAGTCCTCGACTTATGGCCGGTTGCTGAACAACCCTTTGAATTACAGTTCTAAGCCAAGGACTAGTTTTAGTATGGGCATGATACTCTAGGAATATATTGCAAGTGGAACTGAATTTTGTTTGTTCTACTCATATAGCACAAAAATTATTTGTTTTTACATGGTTAATCAGAAGGGGAGGTAGAGGAAGCAGAAGCTGGTTAATTTGGACTTAAAAAAAAAAAGATCACCTTAACTAATGCTGTCATTTGGTATAATATTTCAGAGGGAAGATGAACATTAGTTCTCCAAGCGCTGGTGCAAATCCCTTGAAAACAGCAAACTAGCACTTGTGAAAATGATTGTTTTCTGACACTGTATACCAAACACCTTAATGATATATATTGAAGCATGTTGTGCATATTTTAGTTAGGGAGAAATGTGACCTGGAGCATGCAAGGGAACCTGTCAAGAAAAATGAAGGTGCCTTTTAAGAAACACAACTTTGTGGGAGTTCACAAGTACGGTACCTCATACACAGACATGCATCTCCAAATCACATTTTGCCTGTTGAATCCAGGTCTTTGCTCTAGTTCTAGTTTCTATATTGAGAGGTGCATAGCAGGGGTAAAATCCAGCAGGTTCTGACAGGTTCTGGAGAACCAATAGCGGAAATTTTGAGTAGTTCGGAGAACTGGCAAATGCCACCTCTGGCTGGCCTTAGAGTGGGGTGGGAATGGAGATTTTGCAATATCCTTCCCCCAGGAATGGGGTGGGAATGGGGATTTTGCAATATCCTTCCCCTGCCACACCCACCAAGCCACGCCCGGTAGTAAAAAAAATTGAATTTCACCACTGGTGCATAGTCCAGATATTAAATGTATTTTTCATAGAAACACATTATGATGCCCTATACAAACTTCCTAGAAATAAAATGCATTACAAATTTGGCTACAGGGGAATAATACTATCTAGTCAGAATCTAAAAATGTTATAATTTTTTTAAAAAATTAGATCTGTTACTTAGGACTTTCTAGATACCTGAAATGGTTTAAGGTTAGTTGCTTAATCAAAACAATGAGCAGCTTTACTCCAACAGCAAAATTATACTGGGATTAAATAAATGAATTCCCAAATCTCATAGCACAATAAGGGAAAAGAAAATATGAAAAACAGGATCTGCTTCTGTGTGGATAATGCCAGTAATTCTTTTCAAATTTTTCCTAGCTCTGTTCCCTAATTCAGTTTTATGATCAGGATCAATGGAATGTCACTTGGGTTTACATCAAAAGCGCCCCAAATCAAGAGTACAGCCTTCGCCAATATTACATGCTGAAGTTCCTGCATCTCTGTACGTTGAATTCAGAGAGTTCAGTTTATTTCAGTATTTGTAAACAAAGATGCCTCTTTCAGTTTTCCTTACCTTGAAATTCTCACATTGTCAACTAAGATGGCCTCAAATTGTCTCATGTAATTCAAAAGAATTTGCCGTTTCTTGGTGCTTTCTATCAAACTTCTGCATCTTGTCACGCAGATATCTTTTCTGTTGTGTCTGTCATGCTTTTATTTATCTCCCTTGATCATTCATCCTGTACAGTGTGAATTCCCTGGTGCATTTCTTTTGCCCTTGGCATGATACGTCTTTGTTTCAAATATCACCAAGCAGTAGATCTCATAGCACGCCATTTCAGGTACCAAATGTGGTTGCACAGAATGGTACAAATGCTTTCCTTCCAGTTTTTCCTTGTCTACACTGCAGTATTGGAGAGGAAGGACCTACATCCAAGCACTGCTCACCATCACATTTATCCAAGGATTTAAAAGGACGTAACCACAGTGCAAAACTCTCCAATGTAAAATACCAATGTATACGTCCATAGAACCTGAGACACCCAATTTCAGTTTGCTTCATACAATAGCAAATTTAAGCTGATCATTCTGTCACAGTAAGAATGGGTAATGGGTGTCTCCAGATAGTGTTGAGTTGCAATTCACATTTTCTCTCATTAGCCATACAGGTATGGAAAGGAGAGTTCCACAAAAATACATTGCCCATCTTTGAACTGATAATGGCATATTGTGCTGTGGCAGTACACAAAAATGTTGCACCCTGGGAATTCTGAGATTAGCCCATTTCTTAGTCGGGCGAATGGAATAGTCCAGGAAATGACCGTGCAATATTGTTCATCCCTGGATCATAATATTTAAATTTCAATTGTTAAGTCTTATTTTTAAAAGGTATCAATTAATCTGGAAATGAGGCATAATAGACTGAGGAAGTAAACATAGGGGGTTAATCAGCAATAAGATTGATCCATATATATATGCAGAACGAAGATCTAGATTGATCCTAAAACGAAGTGAGGATGCATTCAAAAAGAACTTTGTTGATGAATTGCTTTCATTTCTGCTTTACTCTTCACGGACTCCCACTTTTTTCCTTTCTTGTAGGGAGACTCTTGGTTGTCTAAAAGTGATTTCTAGCCTAAAGGTTAGTAAACCTTGCTAAATTATTGTCTTTCACATTTTAAAAAAAAGATCTTTAACAAGTAACTCTTGTTGTTCTTCTGGACAAATGGTTGTCCAATCTCTTCTTTAAAATCTCCAGTATGGATGCTCCAACACTGGATTTTTTAAAGAAGAACTTGGAACAACCATTTGTCTCTAATGGTATACGGGTTTCCTGGCTGATCAGGGGGTGGACTAGAAGATCCCCAAGGTCCCTTCCAAGTCTGTTATTCTGTTATCCCTACCTAAACAGCAGAATATAAGTAGACAGGTTTGCAATTTTCTACACCACTTCCACTCTGCTATTCCTCCAAAAGCAGTTTGAAGTTCTACTGTAGCTGCTGGGAACTGAGGAAACACCATATATGCCATAAGGCATTTAATGTTCATCTTCCAGTTGACCAATAGGAGAATTGAAGGGGGGGGGGAAATCCTCCATCTAATCAATATCCTGAATTGTGAGTTCCAAAGAGACTTCATTTCTTTTCAAGAAAAGTAGAATTGTGGTTTCCCCCGCTCTCCATCTATGTTTTCAATTCACCTGGTATTTTTGCTTGGTCATTTTGAAAAGTAATGTTAGAGTTGCTGTTGCAAAGGTGCCATTTGCTGTCACACTTAACTGTTGCAATTATTGTGTAGATGAAATGATAATGCTTGACTTAGACCCCAGAGCCAATATCTCCCAAGATAGGACAGGCCCAGAACTCCTCTAAATTGCTGCAAAGTAAAGAAAAAGTCTTTGTCTCACAAATAATATTGTGGCAGAAGGAGATGCTTCAGTAACAGACTGCATGATTTTAAAAAGCTGCTATTAGATAATTTCTAAAGAAGAAAAAGAATTCCAATTAAAATGATAAAGGTGGAGACATGGAGAAAATAAAAATGTATAGATGGAGACAAAAACAATGAAACACACACACACAATGATTCTTTCAAGTTCTAGTTTTATTTAACTAAGGAAAATGAAAGGTGGGGGGAAGTATGGCAAGTCTGGATGAATAATGAAAAGACAACCCATTGCTTGTAATTAAAACAAGGTGAAGCACGTTCTATTTTTAAAAGACAATAAAAAGCAGTAACCCTCCTACATATTATAGATTGTATCTGCTAACCAAGCCACAATGGAAGACAGCATGGACAACTAGAGGCCAACAACATGATTTCCACTATTTTATTTAATTCCTAGGAAATGTTGTCTTTTAGTTGTACAGTCATTCCACCTGAGCTAGAACATACCCATCGTGTGCATGCCATTCTAGAAAAAAAAAGTGACATAGTGTTTGATGAATGGTTTCTCAACTTCTTAGAAAAAGTGAAAAAATCATGGCAAGAGGTAGATCAGCTTGGGTCCCCTTCCATGGTCAAACAAGCAAGTATAGAAGTAAAAGTAGCATCTTATTCCTGCCATCAGGACCCCTGAATTCCTACTATAGTTGTGTGAACTGGAGAGCAAAAAGAAAGCATATTCTTGCTTCAATTAAGCAGCAAGAGATCGAAGGCTGCTGTGTTATGTGGTTTGATGTTATGTATATGCATTATATGTAGTCTTCCCACAAAGAAATTGGGTGGGCTATCACAATTGGGTAGTCATGGCTAGGAAGGCATTTGCTCAACTTCAAGTTGTAAGCCAGTAACGTCCTTTCCTCATTGGAGATGCTCTCATTTCAGCCACTCATACCCTGGTCATCTCCTGGCTGGACAACTGCTGCATGGGACTCCCCTTGAAGAGTATTCGAAAGTTGCATTTGGCAAAGAATGCAACAGTGAGACTTTGGGGCACCCCTAGGGTGGTTCCTGTAACACTTTTGCTACATGAGCTGCACTGGGTGCCAATTTGCTTCCAGGTTCAATTCAAGAGATTGGTCATTACCTTTAAAGCCCTTCATGGTATATCTGAGGAACTGTCTTGTCTCAATTATACTGGCCCATTCCAACCAATCAAGCAGGGACAGCATCTGTGTAATCCATCAGTCGAGAAAGTTCAACTGGTGGGATCCAGGAAGAAGGCCTTCTCAGCTTCTACCTCTGCCTTTTGGAACATCTTACCCCCAGAGGTGAAGAGAACCCCCACTCTTCTGGTTTTCCATGATGGCGTAAAGCTGTGGTGGCACAATGGTTAGAATGCAGTATTGCAGGCTAACTCTGCCCACAACCTGGATTTTGATCCAGAGGGCTCAAGGTTGACTTAGCCTTCCATCCTTCCAAGGTCAGCAAAACAAAGACCTAGATTGTTGGGGGCAATATGCTGGCATTGTAAGGGAGTGCTCAGGGAGTGCTGTAAAGCACTATGGACTGGTATATAAGTCTAACTGCTATTGCTATTTCTGGATGAGTGTTAAGACCTGACATAGTCTTGATACAATCTTGGGAATGGCTGCTGGCTTGAGGAAACTCTTCCTGCCTTGTTAATCTTTTAGCCTTTTCAATTTTTAACTTTGCTTTGTATTTTTACCCGTAAATTTTACATTGTTCTTAATCCTGTTTTTAATCTATGCTTTTATTCATGTGTTTTCATTATGATGTTGTAAAACTCGCAGAGTTGCTTAAGTGAAATGGGCGATGCAGAAATTAAATAAATAAATAAATAGCCAGCTGTAATCTAGCATTAAGCCCTTAGAAGCTGCCAAAAAGACCAGGCTGCTAAGAAGGTTTTGCAGACTGGGATGTCCCTTCCTTGATACTTCTACTTCAGCAATAATGTGTATTTGTGCATGTGTTTCTAGAATTTGGTTTCTTCACTATTCTTAATTGGGGAAGCTGACTCCCACTTGTGCCCAAGACCTCCAGCCTAAGGCTTGTGAACAATGCAGACTGATTTATTCTCTATTGGGGTGGCTTGCAATTCCCATGGTTATAGTATGCCAGAGGCCATAATCTATTATTAGTCTTTTTTAAAATTTATTCAAACATAGGATATACTGTATATTTTCTGAATAACTAATGTATTACTAAAGAACCCCTGAAAAGATTCTAAGGAGCCCTGAAGTTACCCCCAAAGAGTTTCAGAACATTATTTTGGTGTATTACGTAGCTACAGTGTTGACCTTTCTAAACAGACAGAACATTTTAATTAATCTCCATAGCTGCATTTTCAAAGTTGAGAGTCTCAGGAAGCTCTGCCTAAATTACAGCAGTGCTGCTGGGCTACATTTAGATTTCTTTGATCTAACAGAAATCACTCCTTGGGTTGTTTTAAGATCACATCCTTGGTATGTTCTCATGGCCTTTTTGACGATGGTGTTCTAGTTCTGCCAATATCACAGAGATTCCCAAACGTTCCTTGTATTTTGCCACCGATGATGAAAAGCAGTGACAAAAAAAGGTCAGAACTCAAAGTCAACCTAAGCTCAGCTAGATCAAATGATAGAAATAGTATCTGCGTGACTGAACTAACTTCCTGAAAATAAATGAAACATACTGAGAAGTTGTATGAGCCTCAATTCCACTTAAGTTGTTCATAAACCACTGAAATATTTCAAGCACATACTGACTATGATTAATAGCTATAGATTATTTAAACAAAAGGTCAGCCCTGCAATTCATCTTCACCTTTCTGCTGGGTAAGCTTTTAAGTTTTGCTGACGTTGCTCATAGAGAACACAAATAAAAAAAAAAAACATTTCTTCTGGCATTTCCAATCACTTCAAGGGCTTTTGACCTCTGCCTGCTTTGAGACACATGGCAGTCAAACCTGTTATGACAGGCATATAGAAGTAATTCTCATCTTATGACATTTGGGATCAGAATTTCTGTTGCTAAGCAGGAAAACTGATTAAGTAGAACACTAATGTAAATATAATACATTCAGAAATTACAAAAAAGTGCTCTCCAGTTAGAAAGCTTCTTCTTATATTCCATTATTGCATTATTTGAGGTTAAGTGGAGTAACCCTTCTGCACCAAACAACCAATAGTATTTAAACTTTGGAATTTGGTGACAGATATTAATCTTATCCATTAGAGAGCATATCCTTTAATATCTCTCTCTCTCTCTCTCTCTCTCTCTCTCTCTCTCTCTCTATCTATCTATCTATCTATCTATCTATCTATCTATCTATCTATCTATCTATAAACTAAAACTCTCCTGCTTGTCTGATTGTAACCTTTAATTCACAAAACAGTCCATCATAAGGTAATTTTTGAATCAATGTACATCAAATGGGCTAAAACTTAAAACTTAACTTAAAGAATGTATCCAAAATCCAGGACCCACAACTCTCGTGGGATTGAAATTTGGCAAAGTTGTGACTATCTCAGTACTGCCATACTCCTGCACTGCTGCAGCCAGCTGTACTCATGTGATTGCAATTTCCAGCACTCCTTGCCAGCTTCCCACAAGGAAGGGAATGGGAAGCTGGCAGAAAATTAGAAGACACTCCCTTCCCTACTGATTCTTTGCCCACCTACAGTCATTCTGTTTCTCTGTTTAGGTAAGGAAATATCTCTGAAATATTGACCCAACAAGTCATGAATTGTCTAATATAAAATACATTTGTCTGGTAGAATTGTAAAAATCCATTAAAGGCTTCCCTTTAAATAGGCATCAGACAAATGATTAAGCATCTGAGCAGCTAGGATCTTTAATTTGCTTAGAAAATCTGAAATATCTGCCCCAAAGAAAGATGCTATCCTATTACTGCTTATTAAAGTGGATCATTTTAATGAAACCTAAAAAAGAATCTGTACATTATCTACAAACATTTTCTAAAATGAAAGTAAAAACACAACCCATCGTTGGTCAATATAGAACCATTCTGAATAGGAATAGATGATTAAATGATATTAAGGAGTTATATCAATCATTCACAAAGTAAATCTGCATTATGCACCATCATTTAAATGTCTCCTTCCTCAGTGTCTGCTCCTTATCGAATTCTTGAGTTGTTCTTTAGGCAATGACCAGATAATTGGTATCTGGAAAGAAGATTCCGTTTTCTGGCTGATGTCTTACAATAGGATTGTTCAGCCCTTTTTCTTTGTTATTTACAGGCATAGAGAGGCCAGGCAGCTGGTTGCCATGGCATCCAGACTTTGTAGTGTTTGTAGAAGTGGGAGGGGAGTTTATAGAAAACATGGTGTAAAGTGAGCTGATCTGATCTGAAAAGCATCACTGCCATTCTCGTACGGGGGCTTTTTTTTTGCCACCTATGTTCTAGGATTCTATCAGCAGCAGCGGCTGATGAAGGGACACTGTTCTGGATGTCATGGCAACAGCCGACTGTAGATGGGAGGAAGGCAAGGTGGGGGAGAGAGAGAGAGGGAGGGAGGGAGGGAGGGAGAGAGAGAGAGAGAGATGGATTGCTAACAATGAAACACTAGTGACACCTGCAGGCCAGGGGGAGGAAATGCAGCCCTACGTACAGCCAGCATTCTCCTCCTGGCTCTGTGGTTTTTCTCCTGCCATGGGCTCTCCAGCCCTATCGGGGCCCTATTTAGCAGGCGGGGCCTCCTGCTTGAGCTGGCTTCTGCGATCCAGCTTGCTCATAACCTGGGTGATGTCCACATTGGTGGCGGCTTCTCTAGCTTTGGCTTCTTCCTCCAGCTGCCTCAAGAGGATGGGGCTGGGACTGGAGCGCAGGTGCTTGCGGGCAAACGGATTGTAAGAGCTGAACAGGAAACAAAACAAAGCCAGAGGGTTACTATTATGATCATTGTGATCATTATTAATTAACACATTTCCACCGCCTTTCAATAAAAGAATGGAAAACTGCAAAAGTGCCTTTCATGAATAAAAACAATCTATTACAGATTTAGTTCACAAAGGGTTATGCCTCTTAATATATTTGTTAGTCAGAAAGAGTATTATCAGGACTCCTACCATAAACTACTCTCTTTTCTCACAATGTCTACAATTAGTTTTAAGTTAATGGTGAATTATTTGTCCAATTGAATTCAGCATATGCCTCACTGTCTTGATGCAACCCAGTCTAAAATTAAAACAACATGGAAAGAGCAATTAAACTCAATTTGTAGAAAGCGGTTTTCATGAAAACATGGCCAGAATATCCAGAATTTGTGTGGGTTTGTGTAAAGCCCTAAACAGATGCACAAACATTTTGGCCTTCATCCAAAAATGTTGGCATTGCATCAGAATGTGAGCTTCATCACTTTTCCACCTATCTAAATATCTTACTCCAATATTTTATGGAAAGTTAAGAAATGCTCTAAAATAGAAATGAGAAAAAAATGAGCAAAACTCTTTTGTGTAAACCAAAATATTGTGTAAACAAAAATATTTATTTAACACTGATGCAGATCTATAGTTGATCCCTTTTGTTGCTCATTGTAAATATTCATTGCAATAAATAATCCTGCCATAAGGATTATAGATAAGTATTTCAGAAGGATGATAACCAAATAGTATTCTACAAGCTCAGTATTCTGCAAAACTATGGATGAGTATCTTTTTTGTACAGGTAGTCCTCATTTAGTGACCATTCAAAGTTATAACAGCACTGAAAAAAGTGATTTATGACTGTTTTTCATCGCAGCTAATTATGCTGACTGCCAGGTGTTCGATCCTGATCAGCTCAAGGTTGACTCAGCCTTCCATCCTTCTGAGGTCGGTAAAATGAGGACCCAGATTTTTGGGGAGCAATATGCTGACTTTGTAAACCGCTTAGAGAGGATTGCAAAGCCCTGTAAAGCGGTATATAAGTCTAAGTGCTATTGCTATTTTCCTACTTACATACATACTTTACATATTTACGACTATTGCAGCATCCCCCATGGTCACAAGATCAAAATTTTGACGTTTGGCAACTGACATGTATTTATGACGGTTGCAGTATCCTGGGATCAGGATACACCTTTTGTAATCGTCTGACAAGCAAAGTCAATGGAGAAGCCAGATTTATTTAACAAAAGTATTACTTACGTAACAACTGCAGTGATTCATTTAACAAATATGGCAAGAAAAGTCATAAAGTGGGGCAAAACTCAGTTAACAACCGTCTTGCTTAGCAATGGAAATTTTGGGCTCAATTGTGGTTGTTAAGTTAAGGACTATCTGTACTATTTTAGTATGCAACACATTTTGCAAATATGCTCAGCAGATGTATTAATAAAATCATGATCAATATAGTTGGATTTAGCTAAAAGGGTATTTCTAAGAGTTAAAAAGTTAAAGTTAAGTTCATTTAGCTTGATCTTTAATGAGATTTTTCTTCTCCTATTATAGGTTGAGGAATATTGGGAAAATTACCATGGTTCTCAGAAAGCAGCTGCTGTCGTTTTTCATTCTTTCCATATTAGGGCTGTCCAAAATCTTTGAAAAGCAGCACTTTGGAACATCCAAAACACATCCAAAGCACCCCTTTTTGAATTGGCATGTCTTTTCCAGACCTGCACGGCTCCTTCAGAAGCCAATTCTATCCCTCCTACCACATGAAGTAACTATGCATGTCTATACTATTGTATGCAAATGATGTGAGTTAAATATATACAGGTTGTGTTTTATTGATATGAGATCACTTCCAAAGGCTATTAGGGGAGCATCGATGTTCTAATTCTATGACATCTTAAAAATGTAAAAACAACACGTGCAGAAAAAAATGTGATTTTCTTTTAGGTAATTTTCATCTTCTTTTTCTGTTATGAAATAGTTTTTGGTGAGTGCTGTAACATTAACATTTAAAAATATTTATTTATTATTATATTGATTTGCCGCCCACCTCGCGGTTCGAGGGGACTCTGAGCGGCAGGATGTCTCTGATTATCAAATTGGAAGTCAGGCATTTTTCCTAAGGGAAAGACCACCTTAAATTATGCAACTGTATAAATAGTCATCATTTTCCTTTAGTTCCTAATTTAAACCAATAATGAAGAAATGTAATTAAACCTCGGATGACTTGCCTTTTTTTAACCACTTCTTGTGGTACAATTGCCTTGGACAACATTTCTTTGTATACCGGAGACTTTAAATAGCGACCATAAGAATCCTACTAGGGAAAAGAAAGGGAAACTGGTAGTTGTAGATTGCAAGCAACCTAATTAAAATCATCTCTCTATACAGCTGTTTAGGAGTCAAAGAGGCTGGGAGTGGAGGCATCAAGAGAATATTCTCATCAAGTAGCAAAAGAAAACATCTCTTCTTAATGTTAAATATGCATCCTGAAAAACCACTGGTTAAATTAAAGCTCATATGGTTAGAATTCATACACACACACACACATACACAAAAGCGAGGCAAGGAAGATGTTTTCTCAGATGCTGAAATATTCAACAGGGGTTGGGAAAGACCTTGCCTATTGTTTTTGATGTTATTTTCTATTGAGCATCGAACGCAGAGCTGCTGTTGCAAAATGAGGGGCCATGTGTAAATTGACTAAAATAAAATAGGTAAATAACTGAACAATTGTGGCAAAAGAAAGTTTTTCCGAAAATAAGACCCGGTCTTATATTTTTTTGCCACCAAAAAAGGCACCAGGTCTTATTTTGGGGAGGGTTGACTCACTTTGCAGCAGCGGCACTGACAGCCCCACCCAGCAGGAACCTGCTGCCAGCCCACTTCTTCTGCGGTCACTTGTATCCGCTTGCGTGCGACTCTCCCGGCCTCCATTTCGCCGTCAGAGGCCTTCAGGAAAGGCCTGTGCAGCTGGTAACAGAGCTCCAGATCGATCAGCTGCATAGGCCTCCAGATTGATCAGCTGCATAGGCCTTTCCTGAAGGGCCTGATGGTGAAATAGAGGCCAGAGGCGACGCACGCATCAATCCAGATCTCGTTTCTCGGCTGCAGAGGTCTTTCTGGAACACCCCTGACAGCGAAATAAAGGCCGGGGGGGGGGGGAGGCAGACGCATCAATCCGGAACCTGTTACTCAGCTGAAGAGGACTTTTCAGAAAGCCTCTGATAGCAAAACAGAGGCCGGGGGCGATGCATGCAAGTGGCGGCAAGCAGGCGCAGAAGTGGGTTGGCAAGGCAGGTGTCGGGGTGTGCAAGGCCTGGTAAGTAGGGCAGCTCCACCCACCGATCCCCACTATAGCTTAATTTTTACCCATGCACCTCACCCAACCCCCTGCACCCCAGAGTGGGCAGGGTCTTAATTAGGGCTTATTTTGGGAGGTAGGGCTTAGTTCCTGAAAAACTGAATTTTCCTCTTGAAAAACTTATTCTTGTATCAAAATCATTCATTTTATATGATGAAAATCATGTGGAATAAACCCCAAATTATCTTTCCTCACACAAAGATGCTGCAATGTGTTCTCTTTGGAACAACAAGGAAGAGTTATTTGTCTATATCTAGGTGTGTGTATACAGTATATATGTTAATATCCTTTTTGTTTCCTTCAAAAATATCTAGGTAGCTGGAATGAAAATTCAAATGGAAAAGCAAAATGACCAACCTTCTTCATGAGCATATAAATATGAGTCTGTGCAGCATCTAAGACATAACGTTGAGGGTTTTTGAGGCCTCTGACTGTAATGCCCATAGTGGTGCCATCAATATTAATCCAACGTCTTGCTCCTGGGGCCAAGAAGGTTCTAGAATTGAAAATTATAAGGAGAAAAAATATTTAATAAAATCAGGGAGATGGGATTTTTTCCCATCAATTTTTTTTGCTTTTCGAATATGAAGTGATATTGCATCAGTTTCACATATTTCAAATATTATGTTGATAACTAATAATATACAGAATTAATATCACAGCAGATAACAACTATCATTGGAACCTTGAAGTATTTTCACCATCTCCAGCTGACATTTTGGTTAGGCTGTAGACTTCTTCAATGAAAAAAAATCACATTTAATGGCTAGCTGACCAAAAATAACATGGGATAAAAAAATCAAAAAAATAAATAAGACAGAAGTTTAGGAAAGAGTAGAATTCTGAATAAAAGTCTGATACTTTTAGCTTCTATTGTTGGACATAGTTCTTTATTTCCATTATGGTACAATATGATTATATTCTTAGACTGTATTTCCACTGTCATTCCTTTCTCTGCTTAATTACAGAATACAGAAATGGAACCAGAAAAGATATTAGAAAGATTTCAAACTAGAATATGCTCACTTGTAAATTTCTTCTGCTTTTTCTTTCGCTTTGGCTTGATCTCCATACTTCAAATCTTCACAAGCTTCCCAAAATCCCAGATTCTCACCTGAATTAAACAGGAAGAAGAAACAGCATCTTATTTATTAAATTTATTCACCCCATCTCATTATTGAGAGTGACTCTGGGCAGTGTTTTATGATATCAACTCTTGTAAGACAATATTAAAAACGGAATAAGATAAGTCTAGAGCAGGGTTGTCAAACTCAAGGCCTGGGGGCCGAATCTGGCCCGCAGGGTGCTTAGATCTGGCCTGCGGGGCCGCCCTGGAAACAGTGAAGGACTGGCCCATGGTGTCTTTGCCAGCGAAAACGAAGCTCAGGAGGGCTGCTCATGGGTTCTCCCGAGCTCTGTTTTCACTGGCAGAAGGTTGCAGGAGGCCATCACAGTCGAAAACAGCTCAGGAGCCCATTTTCTCTGGCAGAGCGCTCGGGCCTCCACAGGCGCCCCCAACACGAGTGACTTCAAGGTGGCCATGCCCACCTTAGCCATGCCCACTCTGTCCCCCCCCCCCAAGGTCAAACACAACCCTTATGCGGTCCTCAATGAAACTGAGTTTCACACCCCTGGTCTAGAGTGACCATAGTAAGACCATGAACAGAGTTCTAGAACATTAGCAGGTTTAATTTTTCTGACTCTCCAGATTCAACAATTTCTCATTACCCAAATGCTATAAACATGAGAATTATTTTCCCTGGTATATGGCTATCATATTACACCTATTTTTATTTATGAATGTCCCAAACCAGGTGGATTTGTAAAGGACAAAAATTAATGTTTTAGAGCCCTTTTACTAAACCATGAAGATTCTGTTTTGTGTAAGTATATAATGGCTTCTTACCTCACAGACAAAATCTATAGTAAGTCATAGCTTGATTCTTATTATGGATAGCTGCAATGTAATCCCACATCACCTTACAAATAATTAAGGGATTGAATCACTTTCTGTATATAAAATTCCTCTCAGGTTGCTGTGGGTGACAACAGTGACTTCGGACTGTATAGAACACCCTGACAAGTGAAAAAACAGGTGCATCTTCATACCTACCACTAAATTCCTTCTTCAGGAACAGTTGGAAACTCTGACGTCCTTTGGGGTCCTTCATCAGCTCACTAAAGTTTAAAGCCCATTTCTCCACCCGTGCCTTGGTGGGGATTTCTACCCTGCCAAAAGAGAGGGAAAAAAAATCCTTTAAATTAAGATTGAATTCATGGATCTGCCCACATGTTTATTTATAAATAAACAGTGCTGTTTCTCCCTGAAATCAATTCTTTTGAGATTTGTCTATTTTGTTTTGAGTTTTTACAGAACTAAGAACTCTGCTTGTCCTTCCTTAGCAAACCTGTATTCATACGTGAAGTATCTTGACTGCTTTCGATTGATTTTTCCTCTGACTTCTAATGTACTATGATCAGGACAAGTCAAGACATTACAGATAAATATCCTTCAGGTCAAGCTTGACTCATAGTTAACTGCAGGGACATGGAAATATTATTTTCTTAACAGAAATGTTATTTTCTTAGCAAAAAAACAAAAATTGTTACACATTTTCTGACAATTTTCCAGTTTCTCAACCTAATTATATTCTGTGATAGTACCCAAGCAGATTCTAGACCCCTATCTGCTTAACTTTTTCAAGATAGCCAAAGTTGGTTACATATTTGTCATCTGAAATAGCCAGTGAGTATGCATTGTAATATTTATTAGGATCATTATAGAAACATATTTCCCTTTAATTCACACAATTTTTTCACTTTGTTATTTTTTTTTTTTTCTACTATAGATAAAGCATGGATCCAAATTACATTTTGGAGAATGCACACTGCAGGGAGAGGAAGTAAATTTTGTGGTGGCATCTGCAATATACATTGATCTTCCCACAGATAAGCATTAAATTTGCTCATTCTAAATTATAATGTAAATTTATAGTTTACATTTGTCGGAATGTTTATTCAAATAACAAATGTCTCCTCTCCTTTTCAAAGGTATAGCCACAGCTGACAAAATAGAAAGAAAGATATCACCAGGATGATAAGGCCCTCAACTAAATTCAATCCTTGGCTCCTTAAAGATTTCAGAGTGGTAACTGACTACTTCTATAGCACTCACTATTTTTGTTCATTCTTTTCTTACCTTCTGCTCGCTAAAGCAGACAGAAAAATAGGAAACCAGAATATGAAAGAAAGAAGCACAACAGCGCCTTCTTCCTTTGCCTTAACACTACAGCAGAAATGTCTCTAGGTAAAATCATGTAACGTCCCCTGCTTTCACCTTAGTAAGCAAGAAAAGGTAAAAGGTAAAGGTTTCCCTGTCCAGTTGTGTCCAACACTAGGGCATGGTGCTCAGCTCCATTTCTTGGCTGAGGGAGCCAGCATTGTCTGAAGACAATTTACGAGATCACGTGGTCAGCATGGCTATACGCCAAAGGCACACACAGGAATTCATAAACCAAAAGTTGTTCTGATAATAAAACTGGGATGGAGGACATCCGGGGTTCCTTCCAACTCTATTATTCTGTTCTGTTATTCTTTTTATGATTGCATGTAACCATCCCATCAAACCCAAACAAAGTCTGGAATGGTATAGAGTCTCCTGCCATGGGCAGGGGGTTGAATGAGAAGACCTCCAAGATCCCTTCCAAGCCTATTATTCTATGTTCTAAAAGAAAAGGGGGAAAAAGGAAAAGCAAAAAAGAGTCAATGTAATTTAGGAACTGAAATAAACTCAATACGTACAGTTTCGCATTGAGTTCCCAAAAATCCACATCATCAGAAATCCAAGGGTTGCTGGGCAGGCATCCTGAGATTATAGGGTCATTGGAGCAGAACTGTTCACAGTACTTCACTATTCTGAAAGTATTAGAGACAAAAAATAGGGAAACATCTACATGCAGTTATTAGTCCAGAATAAATAAACGAATTAACATTATTCACATTTCCAATGACATCCCAGCCAGGAGAACATTTCATTGCTGATATGATGCAAACAGTAACACTTGCAGTTTTGTGTCTAGCATACTATTGATGTGCCAGTGATTATCGTTCCTATATTGTTTACAGGGTTAAGAGATATGGAGCTCTCTGAGAAACTGTCTTCAAAAGTCTAATTATACTACACTTGAGTCTCTCTGCAGGTAGCAGCCCTTGGCCAGCCTTATCTGGATTCAGAAGTTAGACATGTTTGGGCTTGATTACTATGCTTACTACATGGCACATTCTTAGATTGTTCCACTTTGGAATGATACAATGGAGCAGATAGTTGAATGGATGCCCAAACACCAATGCACCAGCCATAGAAAGCTAAGCTTGCATAATAGACAGAAAGGATCAACCTTAATTTTATCCCAGATAAAATTCTTCTCTATGTAGAGGATTTTTGTTTTGGCATGGAAAGTAATTCAAACACGGGATTCATCACTTGCTGTTTGAAGACTAAGAACTGATTACACCAAATAACTTTTCTAAACAAGTTCACTGAGGATTGAGTTGTTGAGCATTGGGTTTCTATTGGCAGATGCTTGGTCTGGCAGATATTCAAGCTCACCTTACATTTTTAAGACAGTCAAACACCTGGCTAGAATTCTGATATTGATATGCTGTAGTTTACGAATGCAGCTGGGATTTTCTATAAACATCTCCCAAAGAACCTTCCAGCAATATTTGCTTATAGAAGCAATAAACCCTAGCTTTGGTTTTTCTGCAACTCTATGGTAATTTCCTGCTTATAGATGTTTTGGATGAAGATGATTAAATCCACAGTAGTGCATATAAACTGCTTAGGCACATAACTCCTGGGTCTGCAAGAAGAAATAAATTAGTTTAAAACATAATGTACAATAAATTCATAAAAGTTGCTATAATTAAGTCCTTCTCAGCTTACCACAATTCAGAAACAAGATGAAATGTGCTGAAGTTGTAAAAAAGATAAACAGTAGAAAAATTCTAGTATTTTCAGTTATCAGTCCCAGACAATTAATCAGATTTACAGATTTTTAAAAGGATGGAATTAAGTACAAGTGGAGCTTCCCTGGCCAGCATTTGATGAGGATAATAGTTGTGGTTAAAAAAACAAACATATGACTCAAATTTTAGATTATAGCAGAAATGAGAAATTGATTTTAGGAGAATTCATATACAGATATAACAAACAAACATATATAAGCTTGATCCTTTTAAAACAGGAAATTCATTGACATATTGGGAAAATGTCCTAATTGCTCTAAAATAGATTATTATTCTATAGTATTATATATACTATACTAGTATAGTACTATAGTACTACTATTCAATAACTATTTTTTCAACAGGTTGGTAAATTGGAAATAATGCTAGTTATGAGTCAGAAGAACAAGAAAATAGTGGAAATCTTAGTAGTGAGCATGGCTTATTTTTCAGTGATAGGTTTAGCTAAGGTTTCCTCCCTCTCAGAAAAAGGATCTTGTGTGTCCATTAAACAATTCTGCCCTGGAAAACCTAGAAAATTTCAACTCCATCTCAATCTTTTTAAGTAGCTTTCTGATGCACGCTCTACAAACTGGCAACTATAAAACTTGAGTTCCTATTCAGAACTCTAGTTGTAGAAAGCATGACTTGTTAAAAAAACCTCAAAAGGATCTTACAAGATGACAACTGTAAAATTATGAATGCTGGGAAATGTGGGAAGGAAACCTATGAAGGGAAGGAGGGATGCATACATTTGTATTAAAGCCCCTTAGGAGCTTGTTTGGATCGAGGTGTCCAAAACATGACTTGCGCCTTCACTATTACATTACTGCAGCACATTATAGATAGGGCTATCCTCAGTGGTGATTCAGAAAGTGTACTTGGTCCTGACTGTTGACAAAGGAGAGAGTCCTAAACATGCGTTTTCAAAATGCAACTGGACTTTCTTTGTGTTTTTTTTCTTGAAAATGTTTCGCTTCTCATCGAAGAAGCATCCTCAGTTCTGACTGAATGCTGGGGAGTGGAAGGATTTATATTCCTTGCAGTCATCTGATTGTTAGCACTTTGAATGTGGGTTATTAGCTCTCTGAGTGTCATGGAGAGAGGTTTAGCAATTGACAGCTATCTTGAAGTTGCTACATTGGTCGACTATAAACCTTCAGGTCCAATTCAATTCCAATTTTACCTGTGCACCTTCTTTCTGAGAGGGCCTGAGAGGGCCTTCTTCAAGTCCCCAACTGAGTGAGGTTAAAGGGTTGGGGCACAAAGATGTGCTTTCTTGGTTGAGGCCCCTTTGTTATGGATCACCTTGCTTCCTGAAGTTAAGGACAGCCCAACCATCTTCAGGTTATGTTTCACAAAGCAGCAAAATCCTTCATATTCTGATAGGCTTCTGGGGAAAACAGTAGACCTGAATGTTTTTGTTACTGATGTATTGGTTTCTAATATTGAGTGTAGCATACAATCCATCCTAAATCATGAGAAGTTACAGTCATAGAAAAATGTTGAGATGGGCAGATGATGAGAGAGGATAATATGTGTGTATGTGAGGTAAAGAGATGAAGTATGTTTGTAAATAAGGGACATAAGAGAGGGGGAGAGAAGGAGGAAAAAAGTATCTGAAAATGAAATATGAAAACTTATACTGTTCTCACTGAATTATGTCCAGTAATACTACAGTAGTGTAGGATCTCTTAAGCAACCACATCTCATTACTGAATATGTATATCTGTTCCTTTGGGGATTCTTAATTATAAACACCTCTGGATGAAGCTTAAGTATCATAACAAACCTTTTCTATTTTTAAAAAAATAACATCTGGCTAAATCGCTTGATCAAAAGTATTGGTTAAAAGACATACAAGATGTCAGCCTTACCCTTCCAGAGAGACAGATGACTTTGTTGCAGTCTTCATGAGGGACTGTTGGAGGAACATGATCTGTAAAGGCAGATATATTGTATCTGTTAGCAGGACAGCAAATAATTGACTTCAGGCTTTATTCACTAAGAAATGAATTCTTGCAAGAGCATGTCACACAATGTTATTTGTGTGACATAACATAATATTGTGTGACCCACTCTTGCAAGAAATGGATGCCCAGCAGGCAGATTTCTGAATTGTACTTTTTTATTGTATTGGAAAGAGGAGAGATAAACTGAAGAGACATTTTATTACAAGCTTGTTTCCATCACCTGCCATCCCCGGGCCACATTATTCCTTCAAAGACTTCCATTTAAAAGACAGAGAAACAAGAATGGCCATAAAATCAGTGTGAGGATTAGACAAGTGTACAGCCTATTTGGAGACACAACAGAAGGATTAACTTGAGCCTCACATGTGGAGGGACCAATTCAAAAGATACTTCACTTTTTTAATGATTGCAATGACAAGTAATAATGCACTGATGTGAGGCGGAAGGATGGGGCTTAGTTGAACACTCAGCCCTCAGCCATTTTGGTACATTACATAGATCCAATGAGTTTGTGTAAATGACACAACACCAATGCACTCAATGTGATCATTTGAAAATTGGTAGCCAAGAGAGAAGTCGAAAGATTGGTTTTATTGTGAGGCAGAATACAGGTAGACCTCAACTTACAACCATTTGTTTAGTGACCATTTGAAATTACAATGGCATTGAAAAAAGTGTGTTTTTCATATTTACAACCATTGCAGCATCCCTGGGGTCACATGATCAAAATTCAGACACTTGCCAATTGGCATGTATTTATGTTATTTGCAGTGTCCTGGGATCATTTGATCCCCTTTTGTGACCTGATGAGCAAAATCAATGGGGAAGCCAGATTCACTTAACGACTATTACTAACTTAACTGCAGTGGTTCGCTTAACGATCGTGGCAAGAAAGGTCATAAAATGGGGCAAAACTCACTTAACCACAGTCTAGCTTAGCAGTGGAAATTTTGGGCTCAATTGCAGTTGAAGGTCAAGGACAACCTGAAAAAGGGATTAGGATAATGGGAACCGAACACGGACATCTGATGGTGAGGGGGGGGGCAGATGATGAAATGAGCACCAACCTATCATGATGTAAATACTTTAGTGTAAATTATATACTTGTGCAGGCATTGCTTCACAAGTAGTTTAATAGCACGTTTTGTGACATGGTGTCACCATGTGTTTGTAGGGAGTTAAGGCGATGACCTTGGAGAAACAAGACAGAGGTGATGTTTGCAAAAATACGCTTTCAGCCCATGAAACAGAGAAAGCATAAGAAATAATTCAGTCAGGCTTTCAAGATTCTATTAACACAGCTTCTACCAATGAACCAGTCAGATTTGGGGAGTCTCTGGACTACCTGGAAGAACTGAACACTTTGTCATCACTCTGATGTCATCATGGATGCCCACGGAAGCTAGTAGTTATTATTATTAAATGATGTACAATTAAGTATATAATTTACTATGGCCAGAGATGGAATTGGAATATTCTACCTTAGGCCACATCTTTTCATAAGCCGTTCTGAAAGGATGCAAGAGAGGAAGCCCTAACTGGAAGAACTTCCAGATCTTACTTGCCTCCTGACAGCAGTACAGGTAGTCTTCGACTTACGACCACAATTCCCTCAACACTGTCAAACTAGTTACTAAGTCTGCATTACTATTAATCTTCTCATCGTTCCTATCACCCACCTCCTCCCACTTATGACTGTATGACTGTAACCTTGTTGCTGGTATCCTTAAGATTTATATTGGCTGTTTCCCTATGATTATCATTAAGTGTTGTACCATATGATTCTTGACGAACGAATCTTTTCTTTTATGTACTCCAAGAGCGTATGCACCAAGACAAATTCCTTGTGTGTCCAATCACACTTGGCCAATAAGGAATAAAGAATTCTATTGAACCCAAAATTGATGCTGTTAAGTGAGAAATGTGTTAAGTGAGTTTTGTTCCATTTTACGACTTTTCTTGCCAGCATTGTTAAGTGAATCACTGCAGTTGTTAATGCAGTAACATGGTTGTTAAGTGAATCTGGCTTCCCCCCATTGACTTTGCTTGTGAGAAGGTTTTGCAAAAGGTGATCACATGACCCTGGAACACTGCAACCGTCATAAATATGAGTCAGTTGTCAAGCATCTGAATGTAGATCACATGACCACGGAATGCTGCAATGGTCATAAGTGCGAAAAGTCACTTTTGTCAGTGCCGTTGTAACTTTGAACAGTCACTAAATGAACTGCTGTAGGTCGAGAACTACCTGTACATTTTGCGACTGTGTGAAGTTCTGAGTGATCTACCCGGTTGTCACTTAACAACCCAAATTCAAAGTTCTGACCTTTACCCTCCTGTGGTCACATGACCAAACTTCGGGCACTAGGCAACCAGGCTGCAATTATAGCTCCCATGGTCATGTGACCATTTTTATGAAAGTTGTGCGGAAAACCAGCATTTGCTTCCAGTTTTCAGCAAATCAGTACCATTAGTGAACCACTACTGATTCATTTAATAACTGATGATTTGCTTAACAACTGCTGTAAAAAGGTTGCAAAATTGACCCACTTTCCATCCGTGATGAGTTATGACTATGATGGACAGGCTCTATTACATTCATAATTAAGAAGTACCTATATTTAGTCTATCTAAAAATGGAATTTGGGGGTTATCATTTTATTCATAAATTAAAATAAAAGCAAAAAGACTCCCAAGATTTTAACGTGTTCAAAAGGTTCTTGACAATCTCACTAAGATCTTTATATGTGCTATAAGTATTCATGCAGATTATAATTAATAATATACATTACAACAAATTACAATGAATTACCTCTGTCCTATATACCTGAGTTGTTTTTTTCTGTAAAACAAAGAAACACTGCATTGAAAAGAGTATCACAGTCTGTTTGACAATTAAAACAACATTTAGATTAGCATCAATCCACTTCATCCAAAAATATGTGAAGAAATTCCATGGACTGAATGCCTGCTTCTTCTCAGTCTATATGTGAATATATACATATGTATATACAAATATACATATATGCATTTAATTACAGATTTATTATAATGGAGCTAAAGTAGACTCATTTAGGAGATACAAATTAGATTATTCAACATTAATGAAAAGCAACAGGAAACAATATATTGCAATGTATAAACACTGCAAGTAAACAATAGGCGCTGTGGTTATGCTATGATTTACTGGTAAATATACCGGATGATTTTATATGACATCTGCCAACCAAGCCAGGGATTGAAGGCTAGAAATTAACTGCAGGCTATTTGTGCTTGCAGTTTCCCTTTGAAGTATCATGCATGTCTTTGTTTGAAATAAACTGATGGAAAAGGAAGGCACAGACTTCCAGGAAAATCCCTAAGTTTTGTGGAGGTCCTTTCGGTCCTATGAGTCTGATTCAAACACTCATTATATCACATTCGGCAAACACACACACAAGTTATTACAGGCATGCAAATGGTACAGCATAGGGTCTAGATAGTAATTTCCTGTCCTTTATTGTTTTAAAATCATTTTACAAGAGGATGCATTCAGATAGAAGGGCAATTGGGGGAAAGGCCCAAAGTAAACATCCTTTTTTTTTGGCCACTTTTGCATTACAATTTTTCTTTTCTTTTTGCATGAGATTCAAATGCATCTTTGCTTTTAATAAGAGGCAATTTTTCACAAGCTGATATACAAGATGACTCTGGGCCAGTTGTTCTCTCTCTGCCTTGCCTACTTTGCAGAGTGCTTATATGGGCATAAAATGAGGGTATACATCATCACCCTCAGTTGTCAGAGAAAATACATACAGTAAATAAAAAACATGTGCTTTCAGTCCAATCTATAAAGGGTCATGTATCACCATGTACAACAGCATGGAACTTAGTCATGGGTGAGGTTTATTTAATTCAGTATGATCTTGGCATTGCTGGATACTAGATTACTCAAATACTATCAACAGAATCAAATCTATATACTGTATTTTGCTCAGAAACCCAAGCTCCAAAGGTATGAGCCTTTTTCTTCAGAAAAGTGCCACTGAAGGAAAATTTTAATCTCAGTTACCCAGTTTTGCAATCCCAATTGAAATCTGGGCCACCTTTAAACTTTTAAAGGCATCTAAGCACATCTTGTTATAATAATGCATTGTTAGAATCAGATGTTGCTTCATACTATTATGCTACTATGCCATTATGATTTTTAGCTTCTATCAATACTGGAAATATTTAAGACATTCCACTTTTTTTTTTTTTTTTTTTTTTACAAATGTTAGGTATCTTACAATGAGAAAATAGCAAACAGAAGAACTAGTCTTTGAAACTACACCTTACAGGTTATTATTTTTTAAAATAAATATTTTATTGATTTTCAACAAGTATTTAATTTAATTGCTTATTATTGGTTATTATTGCCTCTATCAAATGTGAAGGTATGAATAGCACTTCAGAAAAATTCTGTTATACAAGAAACAGGCTTCAAGAAAATACAGATAAATTTTGGATACATTTGCTTATTTAATATTGCTTGGTACTGTTTTATTATTGTAGATAATGCATTATAGAATGGTATGATAAATCTGCAGCAGGCCAGTTAAAAAATAATTTAAGAATACAGTATAGCAATTAATTATGAAGACTTGCTTGGAAGCTATTATTTTTCTTGCCAGTTTCAAGGGTCACTTCTCAACAGTTTCAGGAAACAGCTTTGTAAACAAACACCAGCAAGTTCATCCTTTAATCAGTAAAAAGATCCACCTTGTTGCTTGTATACAGAAAAGACACTAGAAGGAAATGACAAAAGTCTCTGCCCTCACGTCTTAGGAAAATAAATCAGTTTTAGTGGGAAATAAGTTGTGGAAATTTCAGTAATCTATCTTGTTCAGTTCAACAAATCTTGTTAAGGTCACTGATTCATGCTTGGAAAAGAATTACTTTTGCTATGAGTCAACTATCCAAGAGCCACATATCAATAAGGATATAAACAAAATGAAGTCTAAAGATGCACAAGTCGAAACTGGTAAGTGTTTCAGGAAAGACTGCCTGATGGTTCCTGTCAATGAGCTTCAGGCTGTGTCATTGTATAATGGTTGCTGGGAAGACCTGTCTCCAAAGGAATAGGAAACTGGTCACTCACACTCAAGACAATAAAAGGGTGTGCCAGGATGGACGCTGCATCTGGCTTGCTTATGTAAACTATTTAATTTGATAGGACAGTTACTTATTCCACTAGACAGTCTACGATTACAATGAAATTTCAACTGAGTTCCAGCCCATTAGCAAAGACAATATGGGGGCTAATCCACAGGAAATTTTTAAAAAGCTTCAAATGTTTATAAAGCAGCTGGATTAAAGTAGATCCAACCCTCATTTCAGTTGATTTCCATTTCCCAGGTTTAAATATCTAGTAATATATAAGGAGACCTGAGTAGGATGAGATTCACATTAAAATGACAGCACATTAGTCTTCTATAGGACAAGCAACCAATTACTTCACAGAGAACGAAGGTCATATACATCGGAGAAAAGCAAACTAGAGAGAGAGAGAAAACAAAAGATAGAAGCGAAATGGTTAATTAACTATTTCACACGTAATTTTTATATGTTCATGTTTATCTACTAAAACTTTTCAAGAAAAAGAAAAAGTACACACTTATACATTCAGTGCTTACTGAATCAAAGTTATATTTCCTATTTTAAACGGCTATTTTTCTCTCTTTTTTTTCCTACCATTTTTTTCATCACCGCATTACTGTATTAGTTAGTTATTTTCCATTTAGAATTAGTCTAAATGCAATCACTGATTTCTGTTACTCCTTACATACTTAGAACTGACTGTTGAGCATAATAAAACTCCCAATGACCAGAACTGAATCTAGAAATTTATAAACCTTTTGCAGTTTTTGTAGTCACTGTATAGTGTTGGCTGGCTTAAAAAAGGGCTCTCCTCTGCTAAGGGAAGAGCAGAGATTTTGAAAGGACTGAAAGCAGTGAGGAGGGGGAGAGGAGTTGAAAGGAAGATGTGGTGAAAATTATGCCACTTGTATGTCTTAATGAATCCAGGGTTAGGATCCAGTGTACCTTGCCTTGGTGACCTTTTTCCTTTCAAGATCCTTAGGCTGATAGATCCTGCTTCTCTTTTCAAGAAAGGTCTATCAACCATCTCCTCTTATAGGGAAAAGCTAAGTCCTAAACTCTTGCATTTGTGTCTCCTCTTCAGTCTCCATGGCAACAAAATCCACTTGCCTCTATGATTCCCTGCCTCTGAGAGCTACAGTAGTCGAGAGCTTGATTCACAAGAGAGCTCTATTAGCTTTGCAAAGCATCACATGAAAACAATGCAAGAACTGTCTTGACAGGGTCTTCAGCTGGATGTAAACCAAGCATCATCCAAGCTTCACCTTCCACAAGACTTCCACTGGCCTATTAATAATAATAATATTAATAGCCGATGAGCCTCACTCTGTCAAAAACCTTGGAGTACTCATCTCAAATGATCTAAGTGCCAGAGCTCATTGTAACAGCATTGCTAAAAAAGCATTAAGAGTTGTTAAGCTAATTTTGCATAGCTTCTTCTCTGGTAATATTGAACTGCAAACTAGAGCATACAAAACTTTTGCCAGACCAATTCTTGAATACAGCTCATCTGTCTGGAACCCGCACTGCATATTGGACATTAATACAATCAAACGAGTCCAGAGATATTTCACGAGAAGAGTCCTCCACTCCTCTACTTGCAACAAAATACCTTATGCCACCAGACTTGAAATTTTGGGCTTAGACAATTTAGAACTTTACCGTCCTTGGTCTGACTTAAGCATAGTACATAAAATCATCTGCTACAATGTCCTACCAGTCAGTGAATACTTCAGCTTCAACCAAAACAATACAAGAGCACACAATAGATACAAACTCATGGTAAACCGATCCAAACTAGATTGCAGAAAATACGACTTCAGTAACAGAGTTGTCAATGCCTGGAATGCACTATTTGACTCTGTGGTTTCTTCCCCAAAACCCCAAAACTTTAAACTTAGACTGTCTACTGTAGACCTCACGCCATTCCTAAGAGGTCTTTAAGGGGCGTGCATAAGCGCATCAGCATGCCTACCATCCCTGTCCTAATGTTTCCTTTTATTCATATCCATTTCATGTATTCATAATTATGTTTACACTTGTATCTGTTATCAAATTCATGCTTGACGAAATCCATAAATAAAATAAATAAATAAATAAATATCTCTTCAGCGGCCAATATTTTCAGTCTCTCTCATTCCTCCATTCTCTGTAGAAAGCTCCATGATGTGAATGGCATAGCCTGCCCAGCAGTATTATACAAATCAGATATAGCTGAAATTAGGTACAAGCTTAGAAGGGCTTAATTCTCACCGAGCTCTGGATGCAGTCCAGATCAAACTAATAGGATTTCCGTTTCTTTAAAATCTGTTGTGCTTGTGAACGCATTCCACAATGGAAAGCGAAGGAAAGAAAGAAGCAAGGGAGGAGTATAGAAAGAAAACTAAAAACCTTGCAGAGAAAAAAAGCACATTTTTTTTCAGGTGAAAAAAATGCTAGAACCTTTATTTACATCATGATGAGTTTGCGTGCAAGATTTGCTTACCATTCCAAAATGATGGTGATCTATAATGAGATCTCCCATCTATTTACATTTTGATTTTTGACAGTCATAGAAGAGAGATTGCAATCCAGCCTGCGTTCTGGTGGATGGCCAGATATTTTGAATAAAGGTATAAAAGGTATAAACGAAATAAAAATGTTTCATTTGATATGCTTGACCCACAGTACCATTTGGAAAAGGGATTAACTAGTCTTTCTGATGAAGACTGATTCCTGCCATTCCTAAGGATCTGTTTAAAAACAAAAAGGCCGCCACTCATTCCATGAACATATATGAATGTTCAGTAACAGTATGCTACTGAACTCATTTGTGCAATAAAATTAATTACAATGTAAGTTTACAATTCTATAATTAAAATATTATTAAAGCTTACCTGGTTTACCTTATTTTCACAGAGATCTACCGCTCTATCCAGCCCATAATCAAGTGTGTCTTGCATTCCAGGCTATAATATAGAAACAAAACAAAATGTAATAAAGGTGTATTTCTGCCATATTACTTTTTTAACATTAATCTGTATACAGTGCTTAATTCACAACCCTTCATTTAGTGATTGTTCAACATTACAACAGCATTGAAAAAGTGACTTATGACCATTTTCCCCCATCTGACCTTTGCAAGCATCCCCATGATCATGTGGTCAAAATTGAGACGCTTGGCAACTGGCTTGTATTTATGACTGTTGCAGTGTCCTGAGGGTCATACGATCACTTTTTGCAACCTTTTGACAAGCAAAGTCAATGGGGAAGCCAGATTCACTTAACAACTGTGTTAGCAACTTAACAAACTATAGTGATTCATTTAATAACTGCGGCAAGAAAGGTCACAAAATGGGGCAAAACCCAGATGCAGTTTCCCAGGCCAAAGCTCACTTAACAAATGTCTCACTTAGCAACAGAAATCTGGAGTTCAATTGTGGTCATATATTGAGGACTACTTGTAAAATAAATAAATATAGCCACAGTAATACGTGGGCCATAAAAGATGCAGGAGCACATTTCCCTTTTCTATGTATCAATGCTATGAAATATATCCATTGTTGCATTTGGTAACTCTAATAAACAGGAGCATTTTTCTACGCAGTCGAGCAAAATCTGGGCAAGGAAAGTTGACTCATAGGAGAGAGGAAAAAAAGCATTACCCATTGGAGAAAGGAACGCTTTGACATAATAAACAGATTGGTACTGCTATCACATCTGCTTTGAGCACAGCTGAGTTTGGATCTGCTATCTGATGTCTGCTGAAGTTGGGCCATCAATAATTAAACCTCAGCCAGTGCTATCTTAAAAGGGGTGGGGGAAACAGCTCAAGAAAGAGAAAGATCCAAAAGGAAGCCTGACATGATCAAAGGGGTTTCAGCAGGAAAGATGAACTGGGACCAAAGGGGCCGTTGCGGTGTGTAAACCTTATCTACAGATGGTACTTTTCCCCCCCTCTAAGTCAAGCTCCAATTATAGCTTGACATTTGCTGGAGGCTTCTACTTTTCTGTCTGTTAACTGCTGGGCTCTCCGTGGCCATTTACACTGTGTGCACAATTAAAAGTGGATCTTTGATTATGATTTGGGATTAGGGAATGTAGCTCCTTGGCAAGCGTTAAGAGTCCTACGGCCTGCTGTGATCAGTGTAGTAACTGCTCAGGGAAACAACCCCCAGCATCTGCCAGAAGTGTCTCCCAAAGACCAGAAACCCATGCTGTTGTTTTGGGTGCCCAGCTTGATGTCTTTTTCCAGCATGGAAAAGTTGCCAAAAGCACCCTGTGGAGCAGCTCAAGGCATGGAAGATGAATGGGGGGAAATTACTGTAGATAATAAGGAGGCAGAAATTCCACAAACCTGCATTTAATTTTGGGGCTTTTGGCAATAACTTCAGTTGGTTTTGAGTGAAATTACAATCGCAACCCTGTAGAAATAGGAATCAAACTACAGGAGTTTTGTTCATGGAAACAAATATAAGCAATGCAGACTTTTCCACAATGCATATTAGAGGATGCAGGGGTAACCCATGTGTCGTGAGAAATTAGCAACTCATAAATGTAATGCCTCAATCCCCACCACAAATGTTTATTATTTATCATACTAATTATTATACTTACTTATTTATTCACACTAATGTATGAATAAAACCACCATTTACCGATAGTCCTCAACTTATGGCCACAATTGACCCAAAATTTCCATTGCTAAGCAAGACAGTTATTAAGTGAGTTTTGCCCTCTTTTACAACCTTTCTTGCCAGAGTTGTTAAATGAATCACTGCAGCTATTAAGTTAGTAAATGGTTGTTAAGTGAATTTGGCTTCCCCATTGACTTTGCTTGTCAGAAGGTCACGAACAGGTATCACATGACCTTGGGACACAGCAACCATCATAAATACATGCCAGTTACCCAGCGCCTGAATTTTGAACACAAAACACGGGATGCCGCAATGATCATAAGTTTGAAAAATGGTCATAAGTCATTTTTTTCAGTGCTGTTTAGTGAGCAGTCACTCAAGAAATGGTTTTAAGTTGAGGACTACTTGTACATAGGATTCTGGGCTACCCATAGGTAAAAGTTATAAAATACAATATCATATATTGGCTTGCCATCTTAAATTCTATTGGATTATTAATACAACAGAATTTAAGATGGCAAGCCAATGTAGGAATATAGGTTGACCATTTGGAAACCAAAGAAGACCATTCGTAGTGGAGGTTATCTACTACATTTGATTCACTACTCAGGCCTTGTAATCTTCCAGTCATAGTTCCCATGTAGGGAGGAAATAAGTTCCATGCCCGCTTGATGCCAAACGACTAAAAGGGACGTCCTCAAAATACTTGGTGAAGAACAGTTATTTATTTATTTATTTATTTATTTATTTATTTATTTATTTATTTATTTATTTATTTATTTATTTATGCCACCCTTCTCTGGAGACTCAGGGTAGCTTACAATGCGTTAAGCAATAGCCTTCATACTTTTGTATATACCTGCTTAGTAGGGCTTTTGCCCCTCCCCCAGCGGTGTTCTTTTTTTATACAAAGTCAGCTTATTGCCCCCACAATCCGGGTCCTCATTTTACCTACCTCGAGAGGATGGAAGGCTGAGTCAACCTTGAGCCTGGTGAGATTTGAACTTGCAGTAATTGCAGGCAGCTGGTGCTACTTAACAGCACTTTAGTCTTCTGCGCCACCAAGGCTCTTTCATGGAAGACTTAAAAATTCTAAACATCACATGGGAAGATGCTGAAGTATTCGCCCAAGACCAAAAATGCTACAGATTTCTAGTTGCCCAATATGCCACATAGCATTTTTAAAAAGCATTTTAATGATGTGTATGTGTGTCTGAGTAATAAAGAAAGCTACCTGCCCTTTTTGAAGCAAGGAATATCTATGTGTTGTGCTGCTGCTTAGATCATCATTTTATCTTTGGATTCAACCTGTCTTGACAATCAATGACTCATGAGGGGTAAGTAATACTGATTTTCAAACTTAATTTAACACAAAAGAATAGTGTCCCATTGAGTGAAATCAGGAAGGGAATATGCTTAGCGGCAAGACATTCAACATGCCTGGGATTTTGCTTCCAGTCATTACAGTACATTGTAATTATCTTGTGATATAGCACAAACACATTTACAGGTACTTAAAAAGTAAGTCTACTCTTGCTTACAGGAGTCCGTTGCACTAGCCAGTAGGCTTTCTCTTGAAAAGCCAAAGTATACCGGTCTTCTTTCGTTCGTTCCTTTTCTGCGCTGCAAAATCCAAGAAACTTTTTTAAAAAATAAATCAAAACAGGAGATTATAATTGTTTCTTGGGATTATTTATACATTCTAACAGGAAATAACATAAAGATGGCATGGAATTTTCTTGCAGATCTTTAATACACATGATGGAGAAAAATCTACCACTTCATTGTATAAATATTCCCTTTTTTTAATTAAGGGATCATCCTTTGAATATTTCTCTCTAAACAGTAGAAATAGTCCATCCTTTAGTGACCTAAGAAGATAGTGAATAAGATGTTTTCTAAAAAAAAAAAATTACAATAAAGGAATTGTGTTATCCCCGTTTTACGGCTATGGATCTAAGGTTGTGAGTTCTAGATTAAGATGAGATAAAGCAACCACAAACTTTACTTTCATATTATGTAATTGGCTATGGCCAATCACTAAAAAAAGTTCTCCTAAGACAGATATCAGTGTAAACATCCCATTACAGGAAAAGAAAATAACATTTATACCTCTCATACAGACTGTGCATGCCATGAATTTACCACTGTCCGTGAATTTTATTTATGTGCCAAACTGCAAGTCCGTTATTAATGATGAGGTTCATTTTTCCATTTCCATTTTATTAAATTTGTATACGGCCCTACTCCCGAAGAACTCAGGGCAGTGAACAGCCATAAATAAAACATATAGATACAAAATTTAAAATAGAAATAAAACTAATTAAATAAATTTGGCTGAGACATTTTAAAACCCCAATAAATTAAAACCAAATTTAAATTAAAGGTTCAAGGAAAAAGCAGAGCCAGGTCAATTTTTGATGACCCTTCTTAAAAGGCGGGAGAAGGTAAAATAAAATTGCTCTGCTACTGAACACCTGCAGCTACTTATTACTTATTCCTTTGCTCAAACAAAATATGGGTAATCCTCGACTTACAACCATAATTGAGCCCACAATTTCCATTGGAAAACAAGACAGTTGCTAAATGAATTTTGATCCATATTATGACCTTTCCTGCCACAGCTGTTAAGTGAATCATTGTGAAATTGTTAAGTAAGTAACATGGTTGTTAAGTGAATCTAGCTTCCCCACTGATTTGCTTGTCAGAAGGTTGCAAAGGGTTGATCACATGACCCCGGGACACTGCAACTGTCATAAATACATGCCAGTTGCCAAGCATTCAAAATTGATCATGTGACCATGAGAATACTGCAACGGTCGTAAGTGTGAAAAATGGTCACAAGTCAGTTTTCAGTGCTGTTGCAACTTCTATCGCTAAATGAATATCAAGTACAGTACATCAAGGACGACCCGTATATCCTCCTCAGTTAAGAAATGTCTTCTACCTGTACTGCTCCTTGGCCTGCATAATAATGAAATCCCACTTATGGTTGATGCGTTTGTTCAATATGCTATAATGTTCCTGGAAAAGAAACAGTGAGAGAGAAAGCAGCAAAGGCAACATTGTTATGCAATCACAACAAAGGATGTGATAAACAGTTGCAACAGTGATTTTATGCACCAAGCATAAAATAAACAAGATTGATAACATTTTTCAACAAAACTTCTTAATATTAATCACAATGGCAATAGTGAAGTGGCCAATACTTAAAAAGGGATAAATGTTTTGACGGTGTTTCAAAATAATGAAAAAGAAAAGGTTGTGTATTTTACTTTACACAGGTATACACATCACTTGTCGAAAAGAGATCCGAGGTAGAAGAAGGAATTAAAAATGCACTGGAGCATGTACAATACAATAACATAAAAACATATAAAACATAATACAGGTAGTAATCTACAACCACAGTTGAGCCCAAAATTTCCATTCCTAAGCAAGATAGTTGTTAAATGAGTTTTGCCCCATTTTACAACCTTTCTTGCCATGGTTGTTAAGTGAATCACTGCAGTTGTTAAGTTAGTAACATGGTTGTTAAGTGAATCTGGCTTCCCCCATTGACTTTGCTTGTCAAAAGGTTGCAAAATGGGATCACATCAGTGGTGGGTTTCAAAAATTTTTACTACCGGTTCTGTGAGTGTGGCTTGGTGGGCATGGCTTGGTGGGCGTGACAGGGGAAGGATACTGTAAAATCCCCATTCCCTCCCCAATCCAGGGGAAGGATACTGCAAAATCTCCATTTTCTCCCGATCAGCTGGGACTTGGGAGGCAAAGAATAGATGGGGGCAGGGCCAGTCAGAATTTTTACTACCAATTCTCCGAAGTACTCAAAATTTCTGCTAACCGGTTCTCCAGAACTGGTCAGAACCTGCTGAAACCCACCTCTGGATCACATGACCCTGGGACACTACAACCGACATAAATATGAGCCGGTTGCTAAGTGTTCGAATTTTGATTACGTGACCATGGGATTGCTACACCAGTTGTAAGTATGAAAAAATGGTCATAAGTCACTTTTTCAGTGCCGTTGTATCTTTAAACAGCCACTAAATGGAAGTTTGTAAGTCGAGACTCCCTGTAAAAAATGCATAACAATTGTGAGAAGAGAAGTGTGCGCTTCAGATTGAAGCCTAAAAAGTATTTTGGAGTTGGCATGGATGTGTACCTTCCATTTCCTTAAGAAACAGTGAAGCCAGGAAAATATGTTTGAGTTAAGGCAGTGCCAGGGCACCACACGGATAGGATATAAATCCCTCCATTGTCAAGAGCTATATTTGAGTTGATTCTGGTTGACCACCCCCATATATGTAGAGGTGTAATATATGTATGTAAAGAAATGTGGAAATAACCTTAATGATGGAATGGATGCACTGTTAAGAGAGGACAATTGTTCATCAAGTGTTTTTCTGGGAAGTAGCAAATAAAAGAAACAAACTAAAAGTAGCTTTGTTTTTACAAGTAGCCCTCAACTTACAACAGTTTATTTAGTGACTCTTTGAAGTTACAATGGCATTGAAAAAAGTGACTTATGACCGTTTTTCACACTTAACGACTGTTGCAGAATTCCCATGGGTTCTGTGATTAAAATTCAGACACTTGATAACTGACTCATATTTATGACAGTTGCAGTATCCTGGAGTCGGGTGAGCACCTTTTATAATCTTCTGACAAGCCAAGTCAGTGGAGAAGCTTAACAACTATGTTAGTAACTTAATAACTGCAGTAATTCACATAACAACTACAGCAAGAAAAGTCATAAGATGGGGCAAAACTCACTTAACAAGTGTCTCGCTTAGCAACAGAAATTTTGGGCTCAGTTGTGGTCGTAAATCTAAATTGTTTGGTATATGAGAGGGAAATTCTGACGGGCTTCCAAGAGTCTATTATTATACCATACAATAATAACAGAGCATTTCTGTAATCCTTGTGGTGTCTGTTTCCTAACCTGGTTTACCTCAACGGAAGTTGCCAAAAGTTTTGAACAACTATTATTCAGGTTGTTTCTTGGTTGTGGTGCTTTACAAGCAGCCAATTCCTAATTCTATATGGTGTGGTGTGATATGCTATGGCATGTTATATACCCTGTTTCCCCAAAAATAAGACATCCCCTGATAATAAGCCCAATCTTGCTTTTGAGTGCATTCGCTAAAATAAGCCTCCTCCCGAAAATAAGTCCTCCCCAAAAATATTTAAACGCAGAGCTGGAAATCAGTTAAGATGGCAAGAGGAGCTCCATCTTGCTCCACACGCCCCAAAATAATAAGACCTCCCTGAAAATAAGGCCAAGCTCTTATTTCAGGGTTAAAAAAAATATAAGACAGGGTCTTATTTTCGGGGAAACACGGTAGTTCATAGTACATTCTTTCAAAAAACAAGATTGTGGTTAACCCAATCATAGATTTGAACAACTATTTGGAACAAACCGCCTTTAAATTAACCTACTGTTTTGCTTTTCTTTTTTAAAATGAATTATTTTTAATGTTCATCTTAATTGTTTTCAAACCTTGTTATTCTTATTCTAATGGACTTAAGGTTTTTCCCTCCTTCTCTTATAAAATACTCTGGGTTCCTTTGAGGAGAAAGTGGCATATAAATAAATGGAGTAAACAAACATGTTCTTAAGCCTTATGTGCTTAGCGTATCTCAATAATCTGATTTGGTAAATTTACCAAGACAAGTATTGAAATAATGCTACTGGTTACGATGCTTGTAAAGAAAAAAAAAATCTTCCTACCTTTTCATAATCTTCTAGAGCTCCTTTCTTCTCAATATTTCTCTTTGCTAGGTAAATGGCTGGGGATATTGTTAAAAAAGAGAAAGTACTTTATTGCACAATTGGAAAAACCAAATGAATGTGATTAATGACTAAGATTTAGCCTGAATGTTATACAATATTTTCCAAAGAGAGGCTGTGCCCCACAGGCATCCAGGCAAGACAGATGGAATTCCAGGGAACCAGGCTTCACAAGAACATGGGTGTTGGCGTCTTCTTCAAACACATCATCTTAAATCACACTATCGCTGTGGAGGAGGCAACAGCAAGTGAGGGGCGGTTAGAAGTTTAGTGAAGTTTAGATGGGAAGCATCCCTTAAATAATTGTAGCCAAATACCTTGAATTAATGTATGTGCAAGTTATACATACAACAAAGATCAGAACTGCTGTGTTATGTTACTGATCAGCGTATTTTTACTCATGACTTTAAAAGAGGAATGACTTTCAATACTCTTCAAAGATCAAGGGTTATTTAGAAATAAAAAGTTGCTGCACTGTGTCCAATGAAGTTACTGTAGAATCTCTTGAAGCATATTTATTTATTAATTTTTTATGCCACCCATATCCCCTACAGAGTGACTTTGGGCTTCTTACATTATAAAAAAAAGTAAAAAAATAATGCAAATATGAATTCATTAAAACTACACAGATTAAGATTTTCAAATGAGAGTGAGAGAGAAAAAGAGAAAGAGAGATTGTGTGCGTGCGTGTGGGTTTTGAAATTTTCTTAATAGACTTTATTGGTTGGTGACAATTATCTGCCATATTTACAGTAGCTGCTTCATACTTAGTCAGAACACCAGTCTATCAATCCCACACCTAGCTATCATGACTCATTATGGCTCTTAAACCCTTCTCCTGCCTCACCAGAAGTCCTTTCAAATGTAGAGGCCAGAAACTGACTGTAAGGCCTTTTTGTAAGTAAACACCTTTTCACTGAACTAAGAAAACCCATACACATTACCCAATTCGGTAAGGCTGAATGAAACAGTTTGGAAGATAAAAAGGATATCTGCAGTTGGCATATAAGACGCAGTACTGAAAGGATTGTGTCCAGTAGAGTTGTTGACCAAAACTTATTTGACTACAGAGAATTGCTTCTATGTATGGACAAGGTTCTACATTTAGGCAAGAAAAACAGAATGCACAGGTACAGTATATGTGGTACCTTGCTCAATAGTAGTAAATGTGAGAGGGATCTTGGAGTCCTAGTGGACAACCATTTAAATATGAGCCAGCAGTGTGCAGCAGCTGCCAAAAAAGCCAACACAGTTCTAGGCTGCATAAACAGAGGGATAGAATCAAGGTCAAATGAAGTGTTAATACCACTTTATAATGCCTTGGTAAGGCCACACTTGGAATACTACATTCAGTTTTGGTTGCCACAATGAAAAAAAGATGTTGAGACTCTAGAAAGAGTGCAGAGAAGAGTAACAAAGATGATTAGGGGACTGGAGGCTAAAACATATAGCTGCAGGAACTGGGTATGTCTAGTTTAATGAAAAGAAAGACTAGGGGAGACATGATAGCAGTGTTCCAATATCTCAGGGGTTGCCACAAAGAAGAGGGAGTCAAACTATTCTCTAAAGCACCTGTGGGTAGAACAAGAAGCAATGGGTGGAAACTAATCAAGGAGAGAAGCAACTTAGAACTAAGGAGAAATTTTCTGACAGAACAATTAATCAGTGGAACAACTTGCCTCCAGAAGTTGTGAATGCTCCAACACTGGAAGTTTTTAAGAAGATGTTGGATAACCATTTGTCTGAAGTGGTTTTTTTCCTGTCTAAGCAGGGGATTGGACTAGAAGACCTCCAAGGTCCCTTCCAACTCTTTTGTTCTGTTCTGTTCTGTTCTATTCTATTCTATCTTCCTTTTCAAGAGGTTATATCTTAAACAAAGAGATCCCCAAGTGTAGAAGTGATCCTGTCTTTGTGGTGTCAATATTTTTCATTAAGAAATAGAGACACTGGGGAAAAGAAAGTCAGATTGTAGTGCAGTCCTAAAATTTCAGTTACTTTTTGTTCTTCCGCATTTTGAACAACTTTTACATTCTTCTCAATACTTCTCCTATATATGTACTGCCTTTAACAGTAATCAAGAGAGGACAACAGGATTTAATTAATTGATGTGCTGCATTTCAGAATCAATCTGAAAGAGGACAAAACTATATTTCTTGTATTATGGTTTGTCACATAGTCAGCCAGATGCTTAAATTGGATTTGAAATTTTTAATCTATCAAGCCCTTCCCAATGACCCAGGATAGTACGGTATTATACAGGTAGTCCTCTATTTACACGATAATTGAACCCAAAATTTATGTTGCTAAGTGAAACATTTGTCAAGTGAGATTGTCCCATTTTACAACTTTTCTCGCCACTGTTGTTAAGTGAATCATTGCAATTGTTAAGTTAGTAACATGATTGTTAAGTGAATCTGGCTTCTCCATTGACTTTGCCTGTCAGAAGATCGCAAGATCTGATCACAAGGCTCCAAGACAATGCAACCGTCATAAATATGAATCAATTGCTAAGCATCTGAATTTTGATCATGTGACTATGGGGATGCTGCAATGGTCGTAAGTGTGAAAAACGATAGTAAGCCACTTTTTTCACTGCAGTTGTAACTTTGAACGGTCACTAAATTAACTTTTGTAAATTGAGGACTACCCGTAATTAGTATTTGCTTTAAAAATAAACAAGATATTTTTGTTTTGCACAGGATTCTCGCTGAAGTTCTCCAACTTTTTTGTTATGCATTAAAAAGACTTAAGGCTGGGATCTCACTATTTGCTAGTTTACTTCCTTGGTGAATACGCCCATCTTCCAGTTCTTACACAGTGCAGTCTCTTTTAACTCATTCAAAAACTTCCTGGGAATTCACAGTGGGTTCCTAAGCTGGCCAGAATTGTTTTTCCTCATTGGAATAGCATTTTAGTTTTGAGAAGGTCCCAAGCTTTCTGTGCTTTATTTGATTTAATGGGTCATATCTTGCATCCCACCCAGAATTTCTTTAAACTTGTTGAAATGGGATCTTTTGATCTAGCCTCAGTGTGTGTTTATACTGTGAGCCACTGGGAGTTGATTTTGAATTGGGCAGTACCAGTGGTGAAATCCAAATTTTTTTACTACCGGTTCTGTGGGCATGGCTTGGTGGGCATGGCAGGGAAAGGATACTGCAAAAACCCCATTCCCTCACTACTCCAGGGGAAGGATATTGCAAAATCCCCATTCCCACCCTACTCTGGGGCCAGCCAGAGATGGCATTTGCCAGTTCTCCGAACTGCTCAAAATTTCCGCTACCGGTTCTCCAGAACCTGTCTGAACCTGCTGGATTTCAACCCTGGGCAGTACCTGAATTCATAAATTAGGCAGGAGAGAGAGGGGGGAGGGGGAGGGAGAAAGGAAGGGTAGATTGACACATGAGATGGAGATGAGAGAGAGTTGAGAGAGAAGAGACAGAGAGAGAGAGAGAGAGAGAGAGAGAGAGAGAGAGAGAGAGAGAGAGAGAGAGAGAGAAAAGGGTAGGGATTGCTATTTAAAATAACATTTTAAATGAAAGGCAACTAATGGGGTAGACTCCCTTTTAAAGAGAAGAATGTATTTTTCTCCATAAATGACTCCTTATATCAAAGTAATTAGAACAGAGGACATTTTGATTTTATGTGTTTTTTGCTGACATTGAAGTTTTACCTAGAAAAGGGAGGTAATAGGTTAAACATACCGTAATCTGTATCTTCTGCTCCCCATTGCTGGGTTGGCCAAAAGTAGGGTGTCTGTAGGAAGGAAGACAAACACTAAGAATCAAGTTGTTGATAATTTCCTTAACAAACTCTTCTAAATCGTTCTTATATTTAATACATCACTGCTAGCCAATAAAGCTTAAAAGGTTTTAAAATTCATTTCAATACGTTTCTTCCCTATTATTTCCAATTATTTTAGAACAACTTTGAATAATGTTTTAACAATTGGGTGGGGAGCTGAAAAGTGTGAAGGGAAAGCCAAAGATGCTAAGAATACAGGTGGTCCTTGATTTACAACCTTTCGTTTAGTGACCAAAGTTACAACAGCACTGAAAAAAGTGACTTACAACTGTCCTCGCACTTACAACCGTTGTTAGCATCCCCATGGGCAAATGATCAAGGTTTGGGTGCTTGTTAATCAGAATGTATTTGTGATGGTTGCAGTGTCCCAGGGTCACAGAATTGCCCTTTGCAACCTTCCTAGATAGCTTCTGACAAGCAGCCGATGTGGGAAGCTGGACTTGCTTAACAACCATGTGATTCACTTAACAACTGCACTGATTTGCTTAAGAACTGTGGCAAACAAGTCATAAAACTGAGCCTAAATCATTTAACTGCCATGCTTAACAACAGAAATTCTTATACTAATAGCATGTACTTATGACTCGCTCGTGGTCGTAAATCAAGGACCACATGTAATAACATTAGGAAAATTCATTAAGCTTTAAACTGTAGATTCTCTCTTAGTATTTGCATTTCATGGTGAAAATGTTATATACAGTACAGATGGTCCTCGTTCCAATACCACAATTCAAATTGGCAAGTTGGTTGTTAAGTGAACCAAGTGAAACCAAGGCTGTGCTTATTATCTTACTTCAATCTTACAGCTTTAACAACTGGCAAAGGTTGTAAAAGGGAGGATTACATTGCAAAGTTATTTTTTCTTCACCGCTGTAACTACAAAAAGTCACTAAATGAGGCAGTTGCTGATCAAGGACTACCTCTAAGTAGTTTGCAGCTGTTTTTCACTTTTATGTCAAAATGGCTATCACTGATTCACTCCATCAAAATTGTGTTTCTTTTTGTGGTTATTAAATTATATAACAAAGAAAATACGAAAGATGGAAAAAGAGGCCAAGGAAGGATAGAAAAAAAAAACCATGGAGACTGGAGGTAGAAACGGCGGGGACAATTTGTCCTTACTCCTTTCCCAATTTCCATGATAGAACTCAAAGCAAAAAAGTTGTTCCTCTTTTATTTGGGCATAGCCAATGGTGGGTTGCCCCCCCGGTTTGCACCAGTTCTATAGAACTGGTAGTAAAACCGGCAGGAGGCTCCGCCCACCGACCCCAACGTCATCAAAATGCTTCTGCACATGCGCAGAAGCTTCTCCGCTTGCGCAGAAGAGCACGTGTCGCCAGCATATGCGCACGATCCTGTTGCGAACCGGTAGTAAAGGTAAGTAGAACCAACCCCTGGGCATAGCCTGTATTGGGATTACAATTCCCAGAATTCCTAGCGACTTATAGCAACGAGAAAACGTAACTTGCATTTCTGAATTTTATAATCTGGCCTGGAGAAGTTGGGGAGACAAGTGCCTTTGCCTCATATTCCAAACTAATTTTTTTTTTCTTTTAGAATCATTTTCTTAACCATTTTAAGGATTTTTATAATTTGCTGCTATTTTTTTCCAAGATCATTTTTACTGCATGACACACTATGGAAGCAAATGTACGGGCCATCGTGATTGACAGGCAGCAAATACAAGCTTTAAGAAAATAAATAAAAATGCATCATTAGCTCCTGCCATGATGCAAAGCAGGTTATCTTTCTTTTTATTTGCTCTACCGATCTACCTACCTGGAATCGATAGAGGCTGGTGTCTCCTTTGAGATTCAGATTCTTTCGGTCCTGAAGAGGATACATGTACCCACACTTCATAATCATACTTCCTAAATGTAGCCCCTCTTAAAAAAAAAAAATACAGATCAGTTGCTTTCAATGGGGAGCACAAAATAAAGCCAAACTACTCACTTCAGAGGGAAAATATGTAACTTAAAAATAATGATATGTCCTTACCTTCATTGGTAATCTCCAAACGCTTCACAATCCATTGCAGCATATCACAACCTGGAGGACAAAGGGAACACAGAAAACAGCTTTAGGTCAACCCAAGTTTCATTCCCTCTTTTCTTCCTGGTTAGTAAAGTCAGTAAAGTCCTCGACTTACGACCGCAATTGAGCCCAACATTTCTGCTGCTAAGCAAGACAGTTTTTAAGTGAGTTTTGTCCTATTTTACAACCTTTCTTGCCATGGTTGTTAAGTGAATCATTGCAGTGGTTAAGTAAGTAACATGGTTGTTCAGTGAATCTGGCTTCCGCCTTGACTTTGCTTGTCAGAAGGTTGTAAAAGGTGATTATATGATACCAGGACTTTGCTACCATCATGAGTCAGTTGCCAAGCGTCCGAATTTTGATCACATGACCATGGGGATGCCGCAATGGTTATAAGCGTGAAGAATGGTCATAAGTCACATTTTTAATACTATTGTAACCTTGAACGGTCGCTAAACAAATGATTGTAAATCGATGACTATCTGTAGAAACTATATTTATCTATAGAGGCAATGGGAAAACGAGAAATCCACAGATATACCTCACAACACCAGGAGTAGACAAAGCTTTGCTGGTGAGCTGAGGGAATTTTGAAAAGGGATCACTGTTTATCTTCTATTCTAATCTATACAGATCTCTTTTTTTTTTCATTTAAACAGGTATTTGCATTTCTCTCAAAACGTGCATATAATATTTGGCTAAAAGGGAAAGTAGGATTACAGAAAATATACATGTGCATGTCCTGCTTCGTGGCAAATAAAACCAAAACATTACAGTTCCAACACTTTTAAAGAATTAAAAACCTTTACTACTTAAAAAAAACATACAACAGAAGCCAATTAGTGCAGCGATCTGCAGCATGGTGGAAAATATGCTCATGATTATGGTGGAACACTTGTCAATCTCCCTTATCTAACCTGATTCTTAAATTGTTTTAGTGTTTCTTAAATTTACAGAAATGGGAGGTTGGCGTGCTGCTGCAAAAGAAAAGGCTAACTTCTAGTATTGTTTTTGTTTGCAAAAAGGCCTTTCAAGCTTTGCATATACCACCTAGAAATCTTTGCATATTAAAAATGGAAGGCGACAGCAGCCTAAGGCCTTTGTTTGCAAAAGAAGGAAGGAAGGAAGGAAGGAAGGAAGGAAGGAAGGAAGGAAGGAAGGAAGGAAGGAAGGAAGGAAGGTTCTTTCTAAGGTGGTTCCAAGATGCTAGTAAGTGGTTTACTTGCTTTTTGGGAAATGTATATATTTAGAGAGAGGTAAGTCATTTTGAATACTTTGTGAGTAGGCAAGGCATAAGGTCATTTTGTTAAGCCACCACATTCATAATTCCAAATAAATTCAGGGGCTCAAAATGGCTGATTTCATCTCAGCAGCTTTATCGCAGCTATCCTATCTGAGGAAAGATAAACTGGTATGAAATACAGATAGTCCTCAACTTATAACCATTTGTTTAGTGACTGTTTGAAATTACAACAGAACTGAGAAAAACTACTTATGACCATTTTTCACCTTTATGACCATTGCAGAAATCCTCGTGGTCATGTGATCAAAATTCAGATGTTTGGCAACTGGCATGTATTTATGACTGGGGTCATGTGATCCCCATTTGTAATCTTCCCAGCTGCCTTCCAAGAAACAAAGTCAACTGGAGAAGCCAGATTCACTTAAGAACCGCATGATTCACTTAACAACTACAGTGATTTGCTCAACAACCGTGGCAAAAAGGTCGTAAGATGGGGCAAAAGTCACTTAACAACTCTCTTGCTTAGCAACACAATTTTTGGGCTCACTTGTGGTTGTTAAGTCAAAGACTACATGTAAAAGGATAAGAGCATGAACTGAGTCCCCTCTGGGAGAAGGGCGGTATACAAATTAAATTAATAAATAATAAATAAATAAACTACGAAAAGAAAAACACCTGTTACTTGGTCCCATTTTGGATTCTAACCAAAATAATTGTGCCAATCCCCAAATGATCCCTTGGCCTAATAGTAACTTGAGTTCTATGGTCTTTTTAAAGTCTTTAGTATTTATGGTGTCTCTAATGATTTAAAGCTACTTGCTTTTTGACCAAACAGAACCCTTTTCTTCTGATTTCCAAAGCACCTGTTTTGCTACATTGAGTTGTTAAAAGATGAACTCTGGGCTTGCAGCTGAAAAACTAAATCATAATGCAACATATGGGAGAAATGTGGATTAAACTGTATTCTCTCAACAAGGTGACTCACTGGGAACATGGTATTTCCTTTACAAAAGAAAACAGCAGGTTAGCCAGCAATCATGTATTTCAACTAAAGAGTTACTTAGAAATTAAAAATGAAACACAAAAGTAGACATCAGATTTCAAAGGCTAGAACTTATACCCCAGCCAGTAAAAGAGTATTCAGGGAATTTATATAAAATGGGCATTAATGCTGTCTTCAAGTACATTTAATTAATGGGAAATGACTAGTAGAGAGGAAATGATGAAGATGCATTTGTGGTTTTCTAAGAGGGTTTTTTTTAAAGGGAAAGTTAAAAAAAAATCTTACTTATGAATCAGAAATATAGTGCACATTTTCAGGCATGTTAAAACCAGAAATCTAATTTGGGAACAAATCCATTTCTCTGGGCATGTATTTCATGCTCAGTTCTAAATGCTGCCAAAATGCAATTCAAAATGCTACCCTTTCTTGACATGTGATTGCTTGAAAGGCACATACCAGCAGTTAAGAGCTCTTATCCCCATTAATGGAGAGTGCTTCCCAAAATAGAGGAAATTAAAAGATTAACCTGTCATTCAGACCCTGCTTAGGTAACCTTATCTGCATCTGCTTTTCCCCTTAAGAGATGGTGCTTACTGTCAGAACCCTGAATTCATCATGAAACTATACCTGTTACTGTATTCAGAGGAATGCGGAGGCTTTCTATGTTTTCTTCCTCTTATAGGATATAGCCATTACAATTTCAAGTATTTTTTTTTCATTGACAAATGAGTAAAATATAAGTAGGCAGGGCAACTGAAATGGTTTAAACTGAGAGATTGCCATGAGACAATTACTTTATAAAAACAACATCAATCAAATTGCCTTTGAACTAAGAATACCATTATTTGATGCATGTGACATAAGCTAAATGAACCATGGAAAAGAACTGGAAAGAATATTGCAAGGTAATGGCTGGCTAGGAAAATGTTGATAGGACAGAAATATTTCCTAGGACTAGCATCTGAATTAGTTCAAATAACAGGCTGCACTTTACAAGGTCTGTTAAAATGTGTGCAGTCAAACCATGGCAAGCTGGTTCAGGCAGGCTTTAAATGGAATCTGAGGGTTGGGGTTTGGAAATGAAAATTCTGAAGTATTTCGGATAAAATCTTGTATGCTTTAGGAAGTGGGACTGTTGCTGAAGGATGTTTCTTAAGCTAGTCAAAGAAAAATGGGAAAGAACGCTAGTTCTTAAAGTTATGACCTTTGTTGTCTACCCAGTAAGGATTAGAACAAGAGTGATGAAATGATGGTAGACAGTTACTTTAGTGGGCTGTAAATAAAAAATTAGATATTTCTTTACTAAGAAAGGGATCGAAAGTATGGAGAAGGGAAGAGGAGAGAAGCAATAGACAGTGTAAAATAACAACAACAAAGGAAACAAAAAGGGGACAATCTGTATATATTAAAAGAAAAGAGATATACAGATGGCTCTTCTGGAAAAGTAAATAGTCAGATTAGATTTTCCTGCTGTACCTCTAAAGAAAAAGATATTATATCTTATATTACTTAATATAAAATTATTATTACAGATTTAATTTTCTGCTATCAACTCTTGAGTAACTGGAAGGTAGGATATTATCTCTACCCCATGCCTAAAATACTAACTTCCATGATAATCTTACAGTTCTTATATTGAGATTATTATTTTTGAGTAGTAACTGTTTTAATATACATACACATACAGGTGCTCCTTGATTCACAACCACTTGTTCAGTGACCTTTTGAACTTGCCACAGTACTGAATAAGTGGTACTTATAACCCGGTCTTGAATCTTATGTTCCTGCTATGGCAACATCCCTGCAGTCGTGCAATCCCAATCCGGGCCCTTGGCACCTGGCTTGCAATTATGATGTTGCAACGTTGATAGCCACCTGACCTTCTTTGCCAGGTTTCTACTAGCAAAATCAATTGGGAAGCCTGCAGGAGATCACAAATGGCGACCACACAATGTCCTTGCTTAATGGTCATGCTGAATTCACTTAACCAGGAAGTGCTTGAATTGCTGTCACAGTCATGTGACATCACATTTTATGACTCTGTCATTTAGCAATGGAAATTCCAATCTCAATTGCTGTTACTAGAGAATAAAGTATGGAAGCAAGACAAGAACAGTTTTCCCTAGCATTGTCAGACCTTAAAACAGATACTGAAATTGGTTTTAAATGAATAGCTTCTAGTACTACCAATCAAAACTATTATGCAGCTGCTCTGTCCCCTTAATGGATTTTCTGTGACAATTAAAATAATTGAAGAAGTGGGAAATCAAAGAAAGGCTACAAATGGCAGACAATAATGTCAAGATTTTTATAAGGAAAGTTGCTGTGAGGATGGTGGAGAGTCAGCTGCAGACTACTCTATAAGAAACAGATTATCTAAATTCCTTACATCAGATATTCAGGTCTTTATTATCCTTTTTCCTCTACAGCACTGGTGTCAAACTTGATTGCGTCACGGGCCAGATTGTGATGTATAGTGACTTTTTTGCCTTTGAGGAGCCGGGGTGGCCATGGCCTGGATGTGACGTATCCAGCCCTGACAGGCCTGCTCTACAGTGTTAGGATGACAGTTTCTGTTGTCATCTTCTTGGACTGCTATTGTGACTGTTTTCCAACATCAAAGGCAGAAATAAAGTGGCTGACGAATATGGAATAATAATACATAATGAAAACCTAATGTTTGAGATTGCCTTCTATTGTCCAGTATGTCAGACTTACCAACCACAGTATGTGGAATGCTGCCCTCCGGCATGTTCTGAATTTGCGTTTTGATCCCAGATTGTGGATCTTGCATTTCTACCAACAAAACCTCCAACTGCAAATTGTAGTAGAGATGTATGAAGAATGAAACGAAAGAAAAAACAGTAAGAATTACATGAATATGCAAAATAAACAGAAATATTATTCCTTGACTTAATTAAATGCCCAATAAGAAAAAGTAAACATTTGAACCACTGTTTTAAGTGTTTTATTATTGGAGACATTGGTTTTAAGTGTGGTTGATTAAGGACAGGTTGGTACACAAGAAAACCATCTCCATCCACAACATGGTTGTAGATGAACACTTTAACCTGGCGTCAGTTCATTTCCTCATCAGAAGATGAATCACAGTTGCCCAGAACCTGTGTGGATGCAGGGAGGCATTATTTTGGTTTGTCCTTGTTGCCTAATAGATCTGGATGTTGTCAGAGAGTATTTGGGGTTTGCCCTGACAATCTGGTAAGACAGTTGTATCTCATGCCTGGTCAACTTGTAGAATGTGAAGGTAACCAAAGTACATGATTCAATTGCCCCAGAGTAGCCTTTCTCCATTTGCTAGTCCTAGCCTGCTCCTTGGTTTACTGAGGAGTTGGAGGAAAAGAAGTGACTCAATATATTTGGAATGATGTTGGCATAAAACCATAAATGGACATGACCAAGCATTGATAAAAGCCCAAGTTTAGAGGTACACAAAGCAGAAAAAGATCAATTCTTCTTCTTGCTTATTTCATCCATAGACTGTCAACCATCAGTCTTGTTATGAAACCCAAACTCTGGGTCTGTGGTTGAAGCCATTGCTTCAACATTTACATCAAATGAAATCATGCGGTTTTAAAAGATAAATTTGCTTGTATTCCATTTGTAAGAAACTGATGGAGATAATGTTGTTTTTGAAGAAAGCAAAGAAAGCAATTTTTAAGAGATGTGGGTATAAAAGTTCAATAGGAAATTAGGACATTAAGGGTAAAAAGTTCAAGACTGGAAAAAAGGAAGGGTCTGATATTCCGATAAGCAAGTCAGCTTGGGCAAGCAGATTAGTTTTAACCACACAGCCCAGTATATAGTGGAGAAATTAATTAACCGCTTGCCTCAATTTATTATGCTTATGCTGCAAGAATTGTAATGAAAGAAGAAATATAGGTTAAGTAATAAAAAAGGGACAAAAGGTAGTCTGGAAAAAGGGGAACTAGGCAAAAGGTGGGGAAACAGATTAAGCAAGGGGAAATTCATGGAGAAACAGGTGTTCCGGGAAGATTGCAACCCTGTGATCTTCGTCAAAGGGAGCTGCAGGGAGGGATTTCTAGTTCGGGTGGAGGGAATAAAAAGCTGGAAAAATGTATTCCTCTGTATGCCTACATTGCTAGTCACCTGCTCTTGCAAGAACGTATTTTACATGCAATAAACTATTTGCTGCTTCACTTCATGACTCTGACAAATTTCTGACTGGTGAGTCTGTTTTCACAAGTTTGGCTTGGATACTAATGGGACAGAGGCTATAGTGATGTCTTGTAAAATTATCTAAGATTCTTTAGAGCCCATAAATCTGAGAAAATTGACAGGTCCTCTGTGTAATGCTATTATCTGTAAGATTGACTGACTGACTGACTGACTGACTGACTGACTGACTGATTCCAGGCAGGTTTCTGTGGCTGATTTGGGAGATAATTAATACCATTTTGAGGGAAGGCATGATGCTCACTGTCTTGAAGAGGCAGAAGTAGTACATAATCTGAAAAAGCCTTCCCTGGACCTAGATGTTCTTGATAACTTTAGTCCAATTTCCAACATCTGGGAAAGGTTGTGAGGAAAGTGGGGTGGTTCAACTTCAGAGGATCCTGGGAGAAACAGATTATTTGGATCCTTTCCAGTCAGGTTGACTGGCAGAAACTGCATTTGTCTTTCTGTGACACGATCTTCATTGGGACTTGAATGGGAAGAGTGTAATCCGTCTTGGTCTTTTTAGATCTCATGAATGTTTGACTTCAATGAAGCACTGCCAGCAGCAGTTGGAAGTTGGGGGCACCACTTCTGGTGACAGTTACATAAATATGTAATCTTTGTGCAATTATAGCCCTGCGGCCTTCTCTAATCTATAGTAATTTCTCCTTTAGAGCAATACAGTGCGCTCTTTGTGGGTTTAGAAAGTAGAGGATGACTCTTGACATAGAGAGGAAAGTATTGTTACCAAGGCAAAGAGTAGATAAACGTTGCTTAAACCTGGGGATTGGGGAGGATTATGAAAACCTCTTACATAGGTACCCCTTAATTCACATGACATATGGAAGAAGGAAGTACTTTTAGACTTGTAAGCTTCTCTTACAACAGCCAGTGTTAACAGTGCAAAACAGTGCAAAAGTATAATTCTTACCAGACCAAAAGGACTGACATGAATGGGCATTATGACATTGTTGCAGTTTTCATTGGCTCTAGTTTATTTCTTGAGCCAATTTAATGTATCAATCCTTCACACATTCAAAGCTTCTTCTCATATGTTCCTACATAATATACCAGAAGATCATTTTTTGGAAGTTTTGCTCTGGGTGTCCGTTCAGAGCAGTGAACCTTGGAGACATTCCTCTCAATCCTGGAACCATGCAGGGAAGTGCACCTAGTACAGTATGAACTTTCATTTATGAGATTTGTTTTTCCAGGGATTACTCAGTGGGTTATCTAATATATTTGGCAGACGGCTGTTTTTACTGTTACATAATTTTAGGATTCTCGTTTGCATTTTTATGCTTTGTTATATGGCTTTGTTTTTTATGTCTTTTCATTTCTTATCAGATTATTTTAAAATCTGTTCTAAACCAGCCTTTGGCAAGCTGATTTTGAAAGGTGTCATGCCAATTTTAAATATTTAAGATCTCCCAACTCCTAAAAACAATACTTTGTAAAATAAAGAATGTTTTTCATGTTATAAACAAATTCATAATAAAAATTGAAACTTGTCATAATAGGGGAAATAGATATGCCCCATAAATAAGACCAACATAATTCACTCTAGGTAGGCATGTTCTCTGCCCTACCCCTGGGCCTAGAGAAAAACTCAGGCCTTCAAGTCCTGTTTAAAGGGTTGCAACTGTCAGGGCTGTTCAAACTTCCAGGAGAAAACTACAGTATTCCCGAAAGCTGTGACAAATGATGATGTTATCCATTCAGTTGTGTCCAACTCTTGGCGATTCTATAGGCAAGATCTTTCCACATCTTTCAATCTTTCACTACGTCTTTAAGTTTTTCTATGCTCTGGTTGGTATCAGGTTTGATGATGTCCAGCCACCATGTTTTTTGGTGGCCTGGTTTCCTTTTATCGCTAACTCTTCCAAACATAATTGCTTTCTCCAGTGAATTCCACTGCATGACATGGCCAAAGCAAGTGAGATGCAGTTTTTGTGATTTTGGCGACAAAGAAAGCTCCATCAAATGGCATGGCTCGAGAGATGAGATATGAAGTGAGCCCACTCTGCTGAATCTTATGAGATGGGCAGAAACAATAGAAGGAAATACTGTAGCTATAATTCCCATCAGCTCAAACCAAGATGGCCAAAGGTTCAGAATCACAATTGGGAAGGACCATTGAAGTCATCGAATCCAACGTCTGTTCAGTGGATGAGTCCAAATTAAAATCCAATAAAGCAAGGGGTTATGAAGATTACAGCTAAAACCAGCTGAGGGCACCAATTAGTCTATGTTTCAGACAAGAAGCTTAATAAGATTTTAAACAGTAATGGTATGCCAGTAGTGATTGCTTACCATAAATACATGGATATTTAATGCTTCCATATCTACACCAGATAACTGGTGGCCTCTGAAAGTCACTAAAAAGCTTTGGCTGGCTAATAAAGTATCTGCTTCTAATTCTGGAGCAGATCTAGTAATTAGTAATTAACACTGACTCACAAATAGTTGGACTATAGTTTTGGATCCGTTTAACAGAGTATGTACTAAACTGCTTATATCAAGCATCTTATTCCCTCAGTCAAATGTTATTTTTATTTTTCTGAATTAAACTCACCCATTTCGTGAACAGTTTTACTTTTCCCATGTTTAAAGACAATAAATCCAGTTCCCTTAAAAAAAAAACTTTACTGTACTTATATTCATTGTACCGGAAACCTGAAGACAAATGAGATCTCTCTCTCCCTATCTATATATCTAGGGCTAGGCATTACTATATTCAGAGAACTTTAAATTCTCTTAAATTGGCATAATACCAATTGAATGAATAGCTGTTGATCTTAAGTTATGTCCCACAGGTTTGCAGGACCTGCTTGTTTCTACCCTGCGCTTGCCTAGTTCTTATTGTTATTCACCCTGTTAATACATGATGCAATGAGAGATTTTGTCAATTAGCAGGCTTATTGCAGGAGCCTCACACCGATTAGGGCTGAGAGGGTGTGATTGACAGAAGGTCATCTTGTAGGCTTCATCTTGTAGCCTAAGGGAGGATTAAAACCTGACTCTTCCTATTCCTAGACCAAATCTTTACCCGGATCTTTATCCATGACACTATGCTAGCTGTCCAATTTAATTAATAGTTACAGAAATAAACAAGGAATCAGATCTTAAGTAATACCAGGAATGGTTGCTTATCATAAATGCATAGATACTATATAGACCAGTGGTAGTGAACCTTTTACTCACCGAATGCCGAACAGATATGCGCGTTGCGTGCTTTGCATGTGCGTGCACCATCCGCACTAATGCATCCTCCCCCATGCGCTGTGTGCGCAACCGGACCATCTGTGCATGCATGCAGGTTTCACGTGGCGCCCCCATGTGCTGCGTGCACAATTGCACCATCTGCACATTCCTGTGATTTTCACACACGCAATGCACACTCGTGAACGCTGTCTGCACATGCACACACTGCATGCAAGTACTCTCACGTGCATGCCCAAATGCGCATGCATGCGCAGGGAAGCTCTGAAGACCAGATGGGTCCCCTGAATTGCACGCATGTGCACCGGAGGCCCAAACACCAGCTGGGGCACGCACACATGTGTAGTTGCAGGTGAGTTGGGTGACAACTCGCTTGCCCGGAAAGATGGCTCTGTGTGCCACCTCGGGCACGCGTGCCATAGGTTTGCCATCATGGCTATAGACTAAGGAATGAGAACCTGTCATTTTTTTAACAGCTGCTGAACTATAATCCCTGGGTATGTCATTATAATCAGCATTTTAGATAGTAGGAGTTGTAATTCAGCAACATTTAGGGTCACATGTTTTCCTTTCTTGTATAGGTAGTGCTTAATTTATAACCAAAATTGAACCCAAAATTTCTGTTGCTAAACAAGACAGTTGTTAAATGAGTTTTGCCCCATTTTACATTTTGCTAGTTAAATCGAGGACTACCTATAATAGAAAAAGACACACACACAAAATCACAAGAGTTCATTTTTCAGTCCAAAAATCTTAGTCTAACCCCATTCAAGTAAAACTGAACTCCACAAATAGTTTATATTATGGACAACTTCTTAGTGTCTTTTTTCCATATTTATTGAAGATAGGTTTCATATAGTTTGATTTTTTGGCATTATCCAAGTGGTAAGTGGATATTCTAATTCTCAAAGCTTATAAAATGTTTTCTGCAACATTTCTTGAGAAGCAAATTAGATTTCCCCAAGAATATTTATCATCCAACTCTGTACTGTACTGCATTGGAAATGAGCTATCTTTTTTCTGGAAACTTTTTGATTGTCTCCCAGTAATTTTATTTATTTCACAAATAGAAGCGCTGCCATTGGTATCATATAAAAATTTAAATCATATACAAGCAAAGCAATAAATTTAAACTGCAAAATACTGTGCAATTTTGCTGAATAAATAATGGATAACTGTAGGTGAAAGATATTAAGAAGGTTGCACAGAAACTCTTATGATCCCCGACCTGCGTACCTTTCGCCGTGCCCTGAAGACCCTTTTGTTCCAACAAGCCGGGCTGGCCTAATATGAATTTTAAAATGGGTGTATGTTAGTTTTTAATTTTGTGGGCCAAATTTTTATATATTCATTTTTAAATTGTTTTTTAAATTTTGTAAGTTTATATGTGTTTTAATATGGCTGTACACCGCCCTGAGTCCTTTGGGAGAAGGGCGGTATAGAAGTTCAATAAAATCTAGAAGAATCTAATCTAAATTTGATTTTATTTCTCTTTTGGGAGGTTGGTCTATCCCTCAGGAAGAAGGACTGGGTGCTCTTGGCAAATGCTTTTATGCTAATTGAACAGGAAGTGGCAATATTGTTGTTGGCATTTTAAAAATCTTTTAATTTCCAGAAAAACAGTATGGTCAGCCTTATCTCTCCCATTCACGGTGGTTCAGGTTTGGATGCCAAGTGAGGAGCTCTATAAAAAATAGATGGTGGTATCAGAAATTACTGAGCTGTTACCCAGCAACAGGAGGCAAGGCCAAGATTGAAGGCCAACAGGGATTCTGAACAGGAGGTTTGGAACCTCCAGTGTTTTATTATACAAATTAGCTGTTCTGCTACATCATTATATAAACTATAAACTATATAAACTATAGTTTATTCTGATTTACTTTGAAAAAACTTCCCCAATCTTCCTACTACTTCTAGCCAATACTGGGAATTTAGTTCAGCGTGTCACATTTGGGCAACCCTGGGGAACTATCCTATTACAGTGGGTAAAATGCAGTCATGGCTTAGTGATGTTTAAATTAATGTTTTGTGGAACAAAAATTACTAATACAGATCCAAGACTCTATCAAAATGTGTACACATATTCTTGCCACATCCTATGGTATTTTATGTGGAATTTAGTCATTTGCTAAATTTCAAATGTCCTCATGATAAAAGTATATCTCCAGTGATGTAATATAATATATTCACTCAAAATAGTGTCTATTATAAATGATTATATATTAATCAAGATCTTTACATGTATTGGATTCAATTTCATTTGTTTCAATGTCTGAGGGCTTATTATAAGAATCTAAGGATTACATGTATTTTTTTCCCTTCAAATTACCCAAGCAGAAATCAAGTAAGAACATAGTGAAATTGGATCTTTGAGGTTATTATGTCAGCCTTGTGAGATAGTCCAGACCAGAAGAACACCCGGATGAACCAATCCCATTTTATTGTAAGATTACATTAGTGGAATCATGCAAGATTCTGCAATTTCTCCCCTTCTCTGTTTTTAATCTGTGAAAAACTAAGGAGGGTCCCCTCTTAAATGCTTCCCCCCCTTTCCCCTCACCTGTAGAATAAACTACCTTTTATCAGACTGTTCCCTAGACTGTGGGTCCACTTCCTGTCTCCCAAGGTCATTCTTGTATACCCATAACAATCATGAGAGCATCTGGGAAGAAGGAAAGACATTGGGCATCTCTCTTTGCACATGTAAATATATATATTTACAATGTGGAACAAATATTATGACATAAGAAAATTAGATTTCCTTTTACTGTTCTTTTTAAACCTGTATTTTTGCCAGCTTTTCTTAATTGCTGCTCAGCAAAAAGTGTTGTGATGTAGTGTCCTAGCACATATACTTGAAGTAGTAGGATTATCAGCCACAATCCCAAAAATCTTTACAGGGTAATGAAGGAGCTACAAGAAAACTAACTCTTTGTTGCCCACTAGTGGTTGACTGGACTTTTGCAGCCTAGATCTGATAGCCCTAAAATGGGACATTGTGTCTCTGTAAATTCAAATTCAGCACAATAAACCTCGGACAACAAAAGGGGAATATTCATAAAAGAAAAATGAGTTTCATGCCTTGTCTGCTTAACCTTTTTCTACATTCTAGCACTGTTTTCTACAGATGCTTTGGGGAAACGAGATAATAGTAAGTTCATAACTAGTTATACATCAACATGTTGTCAGAAGGCGATGGAAGATTGTAGTGCATTAACCTTAAAGGTTGAGCAAACTGCTGCCAATAAAAGGAGAATTTGACCTCTTCATCAAAGCAGCTATGAATAGGCAGGGAATAGATCTCTGTCAATTACTTCCTTTTACATTTAGAGTATATATCACTTTTCCTTTTCATAAAAAAAATCCCAAAGTAATTTACAACATCATACTAGTATTATTTCATCTATTATGATGTATATTACACAAATCTGCTAGGCAAAAGAATACCTGGCAATCAACAAGTCTCATATCACTGGCAGAAACATCCCACATCTGGAACTAGCCGAGTCTCAAAAGAAAGAGAATTGTACACAGTGGGTTTCATGGTAAAAATGCTCTTTTTTGCCCTATGGGCCAAGATATGCAAACGGTGGTATGATAGCAATGAATACTCTGAAAAACATGAAGGGTTTTATGAAAAAGGGAATTCCTTAAATAAATTGGTGCTAATCTCCTTAGTCTTACAGACCAGCAATAAACATGGTTTCATAGGCACTGCAAAAATATCAACAAAGTGTCCTACTGAACAGCCTAAGTTTACTCCATACTTAAAAAAAAAAAAGACCACCAATTTTGGATGGCAAATTGGTGGTCTTTTTTTTAAAAGTATAAACTTGGTTAGGTTGCTATCATAACTCAAATCATTCAAAATCAATATTAGTTCATTCAAAAAAGAAAGTCAAGATATCATGAATAAAGGACAAAATGTAGACAAAAGCACAAACAACATTCCATAAAACATAGAAAAACGTGTTGAGAAAAACAACTCTCCTTGGCCCCACTAGCCACTAATCAGGAATGAAAGCCAGGTAAATCTTGGGTAGATTCAACACGATGTACTTCTTGACATTCTATATTAGGGCTGTTGCTATAGAGAAGTCCCTACCTCATGTCACTGCCAGCTGTATTTGAAATAAAAATATGATGGTGAGCATGAGTAGATTGGTATAAGGGAAGGAGTTCCTTTAGCAGTTTCATAGGGAAGAGAAGGCAAGGTAGATATTTTTAATTTTATTTATCACATTTTTGAATCGCCCATCTCCCTCACAGAGAGAGGCCCAGGATAACCTATAGTGAGGAATAAGTGTAATGCTGTAAACTTCAAGGGTTGAGATTTTCATGTTTTAAATTACTTATAGCCTGAGAGGGATGAAAAATTAAACTGTTTTCAAATGCAGAAGTTCTGAAAAAGAAATAAAGGCAGCATGGACATGCAAATTAGCAGTGATTATAATTAACAAGAATAACACAGCCTTCAAAAGCTTATAGACACCCATACTTTCAAGGTTATTTTAAGTAGCTTCTCGCATATCTAGAGAGATGGCTCTGTAACAGGTTGCTTTCCTTTTGAAATGCCAAAAAATACAAAAGACATCACACTACAGTAAAGGTCCATGCAAAGAAAAAACAAATAAATAGAGGGAACTAAATCACTATGAAAGACTGAACTAATGACAAGATTTTTTGAAGACTGTAACAAATCACACACCTACTGGGATATTTTTTTTAAAAAACCTTCTCTCTTACAGCCAAACCTTGGTGGTACAGCATGTCAATCGGATGCTTTAGAGCTGTGCCCGGGGTTTCCCGTTCTTCCATTTATAAGATACTGTAGGTGCTAAAACTAAAATAAACATTGAAAACGAGACCGGCTTTGTTACCTTTTTCAAGAATGCCATTCTTGGCCTGTACCGCTGTCCTTGATCTATCTGCGTGATGGTCATCGCGATCTACTTTATTAAGCAAAAGAATTTTTTTTTAAAAAAAGCAATAAATGCGTTTTCACCAATTGCAAAGGAAAAGGCGATGCTAGTCTTAGGGATTTCAGGCAAACGGCATTACAGTACTGAAACTCGGCAGCCTACAGAATAAAAGCGCCGTGGAAGCAGACACGGTCTTGCTGTAGCCAATCAACACAGGGCACTCTGGTTTTATTTGCATGAGCAGGGTTGTGCTTCCTACCGGTCAGCATTAGGGGGAGCCCTTTCATCTTTTTACAAGACTGAGCTGATAGCAAAGAGAATTTGCGTTGTTCTGGCTAAATAATGCTTAATAACTACATAAGTATTAATTAATAATTCTAGGCTTAGAAAGTGTTAGCAAAATGCACATCACCATAAGATAAAATTAGGGGAGGAAAGCTGCACACTGCTTGGTTGAATAGGTTCGCAGGCATATTTTTTCCCCACATTTAAATATAATGTGACAAGTTACAATCCGTTTTATTTGTAGTTTGATTTACTCACACCTGTGGAAATAATAAGGAATATTATTATTCCTTATTATAATATATAAATATTATATATATAATATAATACTAAAGATTTGTTTCTTTTTAAAACATTTATTTCCTACCTTTCTTTAGAAAGCCCAAAGCACATGACATATAAATCGGTCTGATACTTTAATCAATATACTACACTAGCTGATCTGATATCGGAATAAACGTGTAACTGGAAATGATGAAATAAATAAGATTCTTGCAAGTATTGTTATAACACCACCAGCAGCCCTGCTCCATATAACTTGTGGCTTACTGACTTGTTGTAAGGAACACAAAGCTAAAACCACTGAACAGTTGGTTCAGTTGGTCTGTGTATCACATAAATAAATCCAACAAAGAAAAATATTTTTAAATAACAGTATATAGATAAAGATATATAGACTTATTTATTTATTAACATTTTTATGCCATTGTATTCCCAAGGGCTCAAACAGATGATATAGATGATAAATAAATTTAATAAATATTATTACATAAACACCAGAGGTGGGTTTCAGCAGGTTCTGACCAGTTCTGGAGAATCGGTAGTGAAATTTTGAGTAGTTCGGAGAACCGGTAGTAAAAATTCTGACTTACCCCACCCTCATCTATTCTCTGCCTCCCAAGTCCTAGCTGATCAGGAGGAAATGGGGATTTTGCAGTCACCTTCCCCTGGATTGGGAAGGGAAGGGAGATTTTACAGTATCCTTCCCCTGGAACAGGGTGGAAATGGAGATTTTATAGTTTCCTTTCCCTGCCACACCCACCAAGCAACGCCCACAGAACTGGTAGTAAAAAAATTTGAAACCTACCACTGATACACGCACACAATACACACACACACACACACACACACACACACACTTTTATTGCTTTTAACTTTGTAAACTGCCCAGAATCACTTTGTGGTGAGATGGGCAGCAAATAAATTTAATAATAAATAATAATGATGATTGGTGTATGCATTGTTTTTAATTCCATAGGGAGAAGTCCAGCTATCCAGGTAATTACTTTGTATTTATCAAAGGAAGCCATACAGAACACCACACAGACTGGAGAAACAACTAGAAACTCAATTACCTAAAAAGTAGTTGCTGAATATTACATATTTTTGCATAGACAAGTTTATTAACATGTTTAAGTCATACATGTAAAATGTTTTAAGTTCTGATTCAACTGTTTCATGAAATAAATTAATGTTTGTAATGCTCTTGCTCCTGAACTGGCATTTAGGTCAGTGACTGAATATTGGGAGGAGTTGCCATTTTTCCTCATTTGTTCTATGGATACCACTATTATGTGTAGTTCAGGGGTGAAAGTCAGCCGGTTCTATCTGGCTCGGGCAAACTGGTAGCGGCGGCTGCGGGAGACTCTGCCCACCCGTGTGGACGTCATGATGTCCTTTGTTTGCAACAATTTCAGCCTCTGTGCATGCGCAGAAGGCTTTGCGCATGTGCGGATAATGTGGCGTGCACACATTTGCAAACCGGTAGGGAAGGTAAGTGAATTTCACCCCGGTATGGTTTGATAGTACTCTTTATAGATAATTATCACTCTTTGCACTTCCTACATATAATTTTCTTTTGACTTTTCCTTCTATGTCCCCTCTCTCAAATCTGGGAATAAAGTTATCAATCTGGACAACCATAAAATGACAACAAAGAGATACCAATCTAGCAGCCTAATTGGAAGGATAGGTAATACTCCTCTCTTAGGATATATTCCATTTAATTGATGAAGAAAATGTAGGTATAAAATAATACATCATAATAAACAGCTGAATTCACAAAACAGCTTAGGTAACAGTAAAATCATTTTGGATACTTTGTAGTTTGGCATATCTTGGGGAATTTAGCCATTGTTTTAGAATGTTAAATGAATCAGGCCATCATATTAATCTATAGTCTAGATCAGGGATGGGTTCTACGTACCTTTACTACCAGTTTGCAATGGGATCACACGTGCGTGCTTCGCTCATACGCGCACCTTGCTTCTGCGCATGTGCAGATCGCTTCTGATGACATCAGGTCAGTGGGTGGAGCCTCCTGCCGGTTTTACTATCATTTCTATAGAACTGGTCCGAACCGGGGGCAACCCACCACTGGTATAGATTATTTATTTGGACATAACAGTATTTAAACTGTACTCCATACATAATGTATCATTGGACCATTTGGACTTTTTAAGAAAAAAATGTTACTTTGCAATAGGCTGTTTGAAAGAGCAGAGACAGTGGAAGGAAGGGAATATGTCATCCCCCTCACCCCCTTAACTCCCTCTGTAAGCATTTGCTGTCAAGACTAACCAGGTTTCAAACTCCTGTTCAGTTCTATTCCTACATTTGTAACTTCTGTTTCTTAAAAATCTATTTCCTATTTTACAGGGAGTCTACTGTTTAGGAACTGGTTTCAAGAAAGAAGATTTTCTCTGTGTAAAATTGCATAGACAAATAATTACCATATTTTGCACAGTTTCAGATGCTATCCTAAGTATTCAATAAAACCCGAAGTGCCCAATTTATATAAATGATTTTTTTCTTCTCATATAAATGTTTGAAACTCCTGACTGCTACTTGAAAATATCCTGAAGGGGCTATACTGTAGTACCAGAAAATACCCTCAACTAGTCTTAGAATCTTGGAAGTTGAAGCCCAAGGTAATCTGGAGGGGTTTAGTATGATCATTGATGATCTATGTGAGAATTCAAATTAAAGGATAGAATGGGCCAATGTGTGCTTTTATTAATCTAAATTTCTAATCAAGCTTGCATGAACACAACCAGAATGATTTGTATACAGTAAGGGTAACACTCATCTTTCTTCAACAGCCCAAAAGGGTACATTGCTGCCCTCCACAAGGTACAATAAAAAAAAAATTGGGTGGGAGTCACAACAGTGCAAATGAAGCTCTGCCTGTTTTTCATACCATATGCAACTGTTAAGCTTTGATCACATTGTCTTGGCTAAAATCTTGACTTTTTTGATTATTTGCAGACACCCATTTGAGGAACTTCCGAGACAGAGATGTTGTGGGTGGCTGGGCAGGCAACTAAACTAAGTACCAAGGGAACCAGCAGTCACAGTTAAGGCCTTGCCCCTTTTCCACCCCACCCACCACCTGAAGCAACAGGCACATTTTAGGACTATTGGAAAGCAGATTTTAGGATGTTGATAGGAGCAACTCAGAAGAAAGTGAATAGCATGAATGAGAAGAGATTACGTTTATGAATGAATTCTTTTTTTTTTTTTTGCTTTTAATTTATATGCCGCCCTTCTCCGGAGACTCAGGGCGGCTTACAATGCGTTAAGCAATAGCCTTCATACTTTTGTATATTTATACAAAGTCAGCTTATTGCCCCCACAATCTGGATCCTCATTTCACCTACCTTTGAAAGGATGGAAGGCTGAGTCAACCTTGAGCCTGGTAAGATCTGAACTTGCAGTAATTGCAAGCAGCAGATGTTAATAACAGTGCTTAGTCCACTGTACTACACTGTTCCTCTTGATTATGGCCCAAAGTATGCAGAATTCCCAATTTACCAGGCCACTATTTGCCTGCTGGGTAATGTTGTTGCACTTGATTACTGTACAATGATGGTTGTTCAAACGCTTTGGAATATTACTGAAGTGAGGAAAAATGTACACCTTTGCACAAAGTTAACTAACATGTCATAAATTCCGGGTATGCATCCTAACGGGCAAATTCAAATTGATTCGAGATCAGCCGAGGCTCATAACGAGGCAACAGCTCGACACGCCAAAACATCCGATGCACCCCAGCGACGAGTTCGAGCCATTTTTTTTTTTTAATAAATCAACCCCTGGAAGGAAAAAAAAAAAACACCCATCACGTGACAAATCCGAAGAAGGGGAAATTCCGAACACAGAGACCAGATGATAGGATCACGTGCTAGACCCAGGGGCGGGGCCAGCTAACTTAGAAGACAAGAAGCGGGTACCACGTGAAAGCAGAACGAGTCTTTGATTGGGCATTCTTGACGCGACGCTCTCCGAGCGGCGTCTCCTGTCATAGGGGCAACCGGAGGGGCGGGGCCTGAGCGAGCGACCCTGGTTTCCACGCAGGCGCAGAGCGGTGCAGGGCCGCTGCGGCCGCTCCCTGGCTGGCAGTGCTCGCTAAGATGGCGGATTTCCTGCCGTCGCGGTCCTCGCTGTCGGGCTGCTTCCCCGGCTGCATGCTCAACAGCACCGAGGCCGAACAGCAGCGGCGGTCTAAAGAGATCGATAAGTGCCTGTACCGCGAGAAGACCTACGTCAAGCGGCTCGTCAAGATCCTTTTGCTGGGCGCGGGCGAAAGCGGCAAGAGTACGTTCCTCAAGCAGATGCGCATCATTCACGGGCAGGACTGGGACCGGTCAGCCCGGGAGGAATTCCGCGCCACCATCTACAGCAACGTCATCAAGGGTACGGTTGTGGGAGGGGGGCTGCAAAAGGAAGGGAGGGAGGGTTGGCCGAGGCGATTCCCTCGGAGGTGCAAGTGGCAGCGGGGCGGTCGCGGTTGAGCGACCAAGCCCCGAGGAGACAGGCGGCTTCGGGAGAGAAAAGACCCAAAGCTCTGGGGGCTGCCGAAGCAACCCCGGCTTTGGGGGGGTAGGTGGGATGAGGAGGAGAAGCCCTTGCAACGGC